TTCGGCCACAAATACTGTAGTGCCTATGTTGTCAAAAGGAAGGACGAAGGTTTCTCTTCCGTATGCAACTCGGCGAAGCCAAGTATTGTGTAAGCCCTGGTACAAGAACTTCCAGAGTGGGACTTGTAAAGGATCCATCCCTTCAATGTCCTTGTAGCTTGAAAATCTGCTCTGTCGGATTCTAGAAGGGAAGTCCAAACCATTGATCTTGTTGGAGTCGTGGAAGTCGACATCAGGTTTCCAATTCTCAACTGGTGGGATTTCAATTGGTCTGCATGTATATCCTTCGTTGACAGAAGAACTTGCTCCTGGGGATGACATAGGTCTCGGTGATCTCGGTGTAAAAGGGTGACGTTGAGGTGCAAAACTGGCGTTGTTGGGGGGTGTCTGTGAGCTCGGAGGCGGCGTGGGCGGAAAAGGTGCCGTAGGCGAAGTCCATGGTGGGCGTGTTGGGAACGATGGAGACGTAGGCGGTGGAGGCGGTATTCCGGATGGGTTCCAAAAGGGTCGATGGGTCGTCATGGCATAGTGCATCGGGCCACGGAACGCCGGTACTGCTTGGTGCCAACCATGTGGATGACGAGGTGGTGTGCGCGAGCGATCCGGCTGGGAAGGAGGAATTCCATTCATATCCGCGCTGTATTGGGAGATCAGGTCCTGGGACGCCATGAGGTAGAGAGGGTCACGAGACAATAGGTCAAAATGCGCTCGAACTGCCGAATGAAAGCTGCGAGAAATGTCAGGGTGAGACAAGGATAGTGTGCGAGTGAAAAAGTGAAACATAATACGAGGTTCCAGTGTGTGAAACATAAGGTGAAAACGAATCTTGCGCAAGGATCCACAATATGAGCATGCAGCGAGTCACAAACCTTTTGAGGAAGAAGTGGCAGCAGTACCGAATGTCGGGAGAAGCATTGTTACTCCAAAATAATCGGGCAGGGCCACTAGGCTCACTGGATCGCCGACGTAGAATAGTCGATACTTGTTCTGGTACTCCTCAAGGGTAAAGAATTCACCAACGAGATTTGGAGTGGTGGGTCGAATGTCGAGAACGAGGTCGGCCTTCATGGTGCTGGTCGCGAGAATGGTCGTCATAATATGAGGATCGGCGATCTCGGCGGCTGTAGGTGGAATTGTCCCAAGCAGCATTGTCATGCCAAGATCGGCGAGCATAGTCCCGGGAGCCAGAGGTAGCAGTCTCGCGGCGGCTCGGTGTATTGTGAGAGTCGTCCGGGGCCGGCTCCGAAGGTTCTGGGGCGTCGGCAGAAGGGTCAGGTCGTACTGGACGTGCAGAATCATCAGGAGGTTCCGAAGGTGCATTGGTCTCCGCAGTCTGGTGTGTGATCAAGCCCGGGAAAACCTGGTGAGTGGAGGCGACGTAGCATATAGATGCAGCGCTTGAGTTCATAGCCGTTGCATTGTCTTTGCCCTTGGCGATGCCCGCAAGGTTGCACAAGCGTTGGATTTGGTCATTTCCTCCAGCTAGGGCACGGATGCATTTGGGTGAGCGGCATATGGCCAGCAGGCCTGATGGGTTTTGTCCTTTGCCTATTTTGTAAAGCTGAGAGGTACAAATCCTGACAGCATAGCCGGGTAGGTTGTCGGTGTCTGCGATCTCAGAGGACATTCCGAAGAACCCGTAACACGGGTATTGGGTCGGTATACCGGCTTCGTTTTTTGTCCAAGTTGCCGGGCGGATGCAGTCTTCAGCAAGAATTTTGGCAACTGATTCCCAACTTGTCTTGTGGTAGATCAGGTAGGTGCCCATGTGTTCGCCACGGTAGATTGGTTTCTTCTTCAATCCTGTGGGAACCGTGATGGTCAGCAAGTTCTCTGGTTCAATATAGAAGGCTTGTGTTTGCTTTGCAAGTTCGATGTCCAGTAAGTCGGATTGTGCAAAGGCCCTGGCAATATTCCTGACGGTGGCTTGGCTGGCTTTGATCCAAATACGATGGTTGTTGACGGTGCGGTATGGTTTAGCCAACTGTTCGAACATCGCGTCCACAAACTGGTTGAAGAGCTGCAAGATAGCCGGGGTCAATGATTGGCGTAGAGGAACAACATGATCGGGGCCAAGCTCGGTCAGGCATCGAACTCTATGGGGGTCATTGGCCGCCGCCACCATTTCATCGAGGTCGATGTCATTCGTGTCAAACTTGGTGAGCGAAATGGTATCAGCAACCTCAGAATTTTCACTGTCGCCGTCCGGAACTCGGAAGGACACCGCGCCGAGTGGTGCTGAAGTGTGGGTTGGTGGGTTGGCTTGTGGTTCCGATGGTGGTGGATCAGTAGGAGAATTGGGTCGAGCAGTGTGGTGGTCGTAGGCGTCGTTGTAGTGGCTTTCGTTCCATGTACCCCAGGTGTCATCAGCATCAGGAGTAGGAATGTAGTTCGGATTGGATGGGTTTGCAGCAGGTCGAAGTATGACTTCACGGCCTCGGGATCGGTGACGTGGTGTCGCGGAGCGTGGGCGTGGATGGGAGCGGTGACGTCGAGGGACCACAGGAGAGCGGCGTCGTGGTGGTGAGCGTCGTCTGTATGGAGATGGTGTTCTGCGGCTCTTGTCGGGTTTCGTAGATGATCGATGACGAGGGAGAGGAGAACGAGGTCGCTCTGTACGTGGAGGAGAATGGCGAAGGCGATAGGAATGTACAGAAGGTCGATGGGAACGTGATCTTGGAGTTCGGGATCGTGGTCGGCGTGTTGGTGGTGGTGGACCGTGTGGTTGGTGAGGAGGAGCGATGGTTGGAGCTGGGACAATGCGATGGTCCTGAACGTCCGGTTCGGTGGGTCTGGCCTTTGGTGCAGGTGGAGGCGTGGCGATCAGTGGTGGTGTAGGTGTAGGTGGCGGTATCTGTGGTGTAGGATTCGGTGGATGTTCATCTTGTTGAAGAAGGAGTTGACGTTGTTCTTGTGCCCGTTGAGAATCCATGAGTAATAGTTGCTGAGCTTGGATAAGTCGAACAGATTCGGCCAGTTGTTGTGCGGTGGAACCCAGGGATGCAAGTTCAGGTGGAACGGATGAAGTCGGTGCTGTCTGAGGTGTCGATGGTGTAGCGTGAGGAGGGGTTTTCGGAGCTGGTCTGCGCGGTCGATCCGGTCTTTTGTCAGAGCGATGCCTGGGAGCTGCTTTGACTGCTGGGGGCCGTGGTGAAGGCTCATTTGGAGGGATCGTCGATGCGTCCATCTGTAATGGATGTTGAATGTGGTGAGGTGGGTATGGAGAACTGGGCACAGGAGTCGGTGTCATAGTCGATGTAGGTGGTGTAGTCGATGTAGGGGATGGAGCCGAAGTGGAAGGCCACGCGGGTGGAGCGGTAGGTGCCATAGGAGATGGAAAAGTCGACGGAGCGGTGTGTACCATAGTTGGTTCAGGAGCCAAAGGTGAAGGCATGGTGGGTACAAGTTGTGGACCTGGTACTGCATGAGGAGCCGAAGTCAATGAGGTGAACGGCAACGATGTTGGGGCGGATGTAGACGGCATGAGCGAAGCGGAGGATGACCATGTAGGATGCAAAGCCGAGGGATGTCCAAATAAATGTGCACTCGGTGTCGATTGCGGCCACGTCGAAGATGGGTTCGAAGGCTGTGGTGGAGCAGGCCATGATGTTGGAGTGTTCCACGGATGCATCGCTTCAGTAGGTCAAAACAAAAGTGGACAATTGTAAAAAGTTTCACATACAGGATTCAGTCCCTAACTACCTACAAAATCGTGCAATTATTCCCTGCACCGGGACCGTGGTCAAGTCGTGCCGCAATGGCATAAAACAGCTTTCAAGTTCCAACGAATTAGGTGCACAATATGTTTCACCTCACCAGACAACCATCAAAAGAAAGGATCACCACACCTGAAAGTCGTGTGCCTGCCTGAGTTCTCTGTCATGATTTGATGCAACGGTGTTGCAAAGCAGCTGCAAAAAACGGAGGTTTCAGAACATTCGGAATGGCTTCCCTTGAAAGAACGCAGCACTGGGGTCCCTGGGACAATAGGAGCGGCGGGACATCACAAAAGGCGAATAACCGAAAGGCTGGCTGTTGCACTTTACTTAAATGAATTACTGAGTTGAAAAGTGTAAATTCAGAATTCAAGTCTGTCAACACTCACCCTGAAGAGGGTTGCCTCCAATGGCTCCATGGCACCATGTCGGAGCCACCATGGAAATCACACTAGACAAGAATGGATCATTATATGATCCGGCAGGAACTGAATCCTGAAACATGCAAACCAGCCTAGATTATTAGATGAATAAAAGAGCCACATGAGGTACTTCTCGCAAACGATGTAGGGCATCCGAAATTGTCAAACGTAGTCATAACCAGATTCCATAGAGTTTTGACCAGCATGTGGAAATCCAAAATAATGTTTCGGCGATTGTTTCCCAAAATAACCCATAGTTCGTCGGCGACAGGGTCTCGGCGAAAATAAGTCAAAAAACATAATACTGTCGGCGATATGGTTTCGGCGAAAATCTGAGGAAGGTTCTGATGCATGCAATACAGATTGTGGCAACCGTGTAGATTCGAAACAACGCAGTGTAACAGCTTGATCAACAGTTGAAACCAAATTTTGCAGGTACACAGAGTTGATCAGACTCTGCTTCCAGCACAAGTGGATAGCTTCGTTGGGTGCAGTCTCCACTGTGCTCTGCACCCCCCTGCAAATTAGTGAAAACCAATCAGAAGTTTTACATCTGTTCAGATGGTACACACACACACACCCACACACACCCACACACACCCACACACACCCACCCACCCACCCACCCAATAGGGATGCCAATGCGGACACATACAGTGCGTGTACAGTACTATACGGTGGTTTCCTAAAATGGGGGTACCTCCAAATCATCCAAAGTAGACACCATTTTAGTACTGAAACCCATAGTCTTGGGATGTCTTGGGGATCCACCAATCATGACATTGTCATGAGTCTCATCAAAACCGCTGCCAGTTTTAGACGGGTCAGCGCCAAGCTCAAGTTTTGATGATAGCCAAGGCTCTGGTCTTTTGTTAACAACGAACCTGGCCACAAAGAACAGTCTGCTCGGATTAGACCCAACATGGTCAATATGACTCGTGATATGTTGACAAGTGAATTGGTGGAGTGATCTGTTCATGAAAAGCTCAATGTCCATAGCACAACAATGTGAGAAGTCATGAAAACAGTCTCTTCAACAAGAAAACCTCGAATGATAGTCATTCCCTGGAGTTTTTTCATGACTGGCACGCACTCAGGAAGCCTTGCAGTTCCAAGCTACAAACAATCACTGATGTCCTTTGGAAACAATAGAGTGGGGGTCTGGCATACCATTTATCATCATTTACCTCTTGGTTGTCCAACGAGGGTTTACCACTCTTTTCTCATCAACTAAAGTCGGCTGGTGGGAAAAGAACATCCATGACAAGAAATGGATTTTGTTTGAAAATAAAGCACACCAAAATCTAATGGATGAGAACATAATTTTCCCACCAACTAGTAGGAAAAGGACATCTATAACAACAACATTGCACCATCGATCATCTTCCCCCTGAGAATGACTATGATATCATATATCCTATTTCAATCCCTTTTTTGATGGTAACTCCCCATGTTGGCTGGTTAAATCATGTCAAATCCCCCGTTTTTCAAAGCCAAGGAACCACTTGGAGTCGAAGGATGAAATGTTTTGCTTCACCGTTCCGATCACCTCTCCAGTGTCATTGCCGCCAGCAGCGATCACGGTGGCTTCCCAATAGGACTCGTCGCTCCAAAAGCTCACGTCTTTCAGCTCGAAGCGGGTCTTCGCTATCAGCTCACCTGCTACGGAACCGCTGGAAAATGGATGAACGTGGGAGATTTACACAGGATTTCTCCATTTTGTGGCAATTTTCAAATGTGGAACAAGGTGATTGAGCGGTGGATTTGGGGGGTATGACCTATATGTTTGGACAACTGGAGGTAACAGGACACTGTTGGATTTAATGTTGGACACAAAGGAAGAAGTAAAGACTGCTTGCGCAGGGAAGCTTTGAGATCTGCATATCGTGTCCAGTGTCTACCAGGTGAATCGCAAAAAAAACACTCATCATTAATGGTAGCCATGGATCCACAAGACTATATGGTCATCATTTTGATCCATACCCAGTTGGGTTTGCCCCAAAATTAGGGTACAAGCGAATTCAATCATTTTTCCCCTTCAAGTAGGCATTTTGGGGTATCCCGCCTTTGTGGACATACTGACATACTCATATTATATTCCACTAGGGGCTAGTTAAATGCCTATGTTTTGGACATACCAAGTATGAGGGTGATTCACCCCTCTATTGATCAACCAACTGTGAACCATGCACCATCCCTTCCAATCTCATGGTTTGTCATGATATGTCATGATCATTTTCCAAAAAAAAACATCTATTTTGTCGGGTTTTTTTGCATCCATCACTTCCTATTTTGGGACTTTAAAACAACCAAACACAAAACAACCAGCAGTTTAACAGCTGGAAGTGTGTCAAAACCAATAGTACCCCTTTTTTGTTCACATCAAAATAGCAATAAAATAGCTGGACTTTTATGGATGTTCATCCCACTAAAAATAGGGTATATTCCCAATGAAATAGCCATTTAAAAACGGGATAATGATCAGCAAAACCATTGGATGTTCATCGGATGGGTCAAAACCCTGGTACCGTGCCGTGAACCCCAAAATAAACCCCAAGTCATAGCTGGGATTTATAGATGTTCATCCCACTAAAAATGGTATTTTCATAGGTATTGATCCATAGCCAGCTGACTGATATCACGTCTCCGAGCGTCGACTGGGCATTCGGTGGATGTTGTACACCACGGTGAGTTCCCAGGGCTCAGAGTCCACGCTGACTTCATAGCTATGCTGTGGTCTTGAGCACAACCTATAGCTACAGCTAAAGGGGTTGGATCTCGCAGATTTAGGGGAAAACCATAGGAAAATGGGAAAACCATAGGAAAACCATAGGAAAATGGGAAAACCCATAGGAAAACCATAGGAAAATGGAGGTTTAGCCTCTGGTTATGACTAACATAGCTATTGAAAATGGCCCAGTCGAAATAGTTGATTTTCCCAGCTATAAAATGGTGGATCTTTCCACAACTATGTTAGTTTACCAGAGGGTAGAATGGGGATGAACATGGGATTTTGCTTGCAAGGGCCTTTATATAATTTCTTTCAGAGCTTCTTTGAAGCCCAACTTGAAAGCGTGATATCAGTGATATCTATTGGGTGCTAGGACATCTACAAAGGAGGCAGCCCAACATCCACCCACACTTCCAAATTTCCAAGTCTATAGTCACAACATTGTGGTCATCGGACCCTCTGCCAACGGGGCGCCAAAGCTCAAAGCTGGAGCCGATGGTTCCCCACATCTTGCGACCTTCCAAGGCCACCAGTTTCTCTGGCCCAGTCGTATCTACATAGGCCATCTTTTCCAGGAAACCAAAGAGCAAATGCCCATTGGACCAGGATCCTGGCCGAGATGTTTACCCTCTGGTAAACGTTTACAAAAAGCTATGGAAAATTCCACCATTTATAGCTGGGAAAATCAACTATTTCGACTGGGCCATTTTCAATAGCTATTTTGACATAACCAGAGGGTAGGGATTGGATCAACATTGGATCAACATTGGATCGGCGTTTCGACGACTGTGAATCATATGGAGGGGGTTGTGAATCAACCAGTACTCGAGCTCAAAAACCTCTGTCGTCCGTACTGTCGTCCCATAATGGATTGTGATAATGTCCAAGATATTGGTTAGTAATGGTTAACGGTTAGTATAATCCCCCTATAATCACGAACCAACCACGATTTTGAACACTGCTTACTTGGAGGGAGCCAATCAGTGCACCGACCTGACCTGAAAATGGCCGTGCAAATCAGAATGATAGAGACCCAATGGCCAGTCCATCCCGTCCATCCCAATCCAGACAATTGGAAGCTGGCTGGAACAACTGTTCTTTCAGTAGTGGGCCCATGTCACACGTCGTGAACACCCATCATCAGTTCAGAGTCATTGCTGTCAAAGTATGAAATCTAAAGCACCCCTCTGAGTTCAAATTCAAAATCCAAGTGGGAACAATAAAATGAATCTGCATCAAATGAGCAAGCCATCCCACTCATCGAAATGTCTCCCAAGGTCCTCTGAAAATTTTGGCTTGTTGATCTGTGCCTGAACTTGACAGTGCTGTAGCATTTTCGTAGACATCGAAGTGCCAAAGCTTGGTCCACAGTCCTTGTGACACAGGCGTCAGCAAAAAATCTAGGCTGGGGAGTGGAACCAGATATGGCTTGCGCCAACTTACAAGTTTTGCTTTACTTTGGAAAAAGGAAGAATGGGAAAAAACCAACCTAGAGGGATAGACGGATGGACGCATGGAATCTAAAGCTTTGGGCAAAAACAGTTCACACGATAGAAAGACAATGCACCTCAATAGATCAAGGGTTTCCTCAGATCCAGTCTGATCCAAGTCTCCCAGCACATCATACTCCTGCAACATGGTTGCCAGGTTGTTCCGTTCAATTTGGTTCACCGTGTTGGGTGGAATCACCTCGTTCCAGCTGAAGTTGGCCGAACCACAGACGGGTTGTCTCAACCAGGCTAAGACCTCCGAGATGATCATCGCAGTCGCCACAATGATGCAGAACCAAACGCAGCAGTTCCAGTGGGGCATTCGATTCTGGAGATTTTCCACACATCGTTCGGAGTCGTAGTCCGACTCCCCGGAGTCGGAATCGGCCACCGGTTGTGGCGAATACTTGGCACTCGCCATGCCAAGAAGCACTGCCGCAGCTGTCAGCAGCGAATTTTGCAGCGTCACTTGGTGTTAAAATGGCTGGATGTGGGATGAGTATCACGCTTTGTGGCTGCTCACCCAAAAGTCCCACAAGTTGCGGGGAAAGTCATCTTCAAATTAAGGCACAGGATGTATTTTGGTAAACACCTTACGTGGTTTTCTTCAATGTTCTGTGGAGATCAAAGATCATGCGCCCTCATTGCTACCACTGTTATATTATCTCATTGCTTCCGAATCCCTTTTACTGGCAAATCGGGGTGGCTCACCTATAGCAACGTGGATGGGTCCTCTCTCGAAATGCCTTGCCACGAGGGAATCTGACACCAGTGCCAGCCCAAACCCGAATGGCACCTTCCCGGCCACGTAGAGTGCAGCACTGGCGTTCATCAACACCATTTCGCGCACGGCCAATCGGCCCCTCCGGCAGTGCTGTTGGGCCATCCCTGTTTTCCAGAAGATGTCAGCAAGTCAAAGCCCAGGTGCTAGAATACACATTTCTCCAAGCATTGCCTCCAACAAACACACACAGACATCGAAAGTAAACCGGGTCAAGTTTGTCGTATTGAAGATGCAAAGCAAAAGCTTCTGACGGGTCCATTTTCGAATTTCAAGCGCTGACGGCGACGACATACATGCCATGAAACAACACTGCGATAAGGTTAGTTGCGATAAGTCGGCAATATGCAGTCACAAGCTGGTCTGAGCGACGTACACATCCGATACCAATCCACGCAATGGGTCAATTTTGGTAAACCACCATCCAATTTGTGTACCCCATTATTGTGATCCATACCCAAATGATTCAGCCCCACCGGATGAACATCTCACCAGCTTTCGCTGCGGAACCTTCCCTGCAAGAGCTCGCGCATCTCGATGGCATTCTCCTCTGGGCTGTTGCCAGCCACCTGCCAGCATGAAAGAGTGCCAGCCCAGTGGATCGCGAAGTGCCAAAAAAAGGGCCATAAAAAGGGCCACCAACAAAAAACAATTTGCCAACGGCATTTTACCCTCTGGTTATTTAACATAGCCATGGTATAGATGACCCATTTAGTTCGATGGTTTACCTAGCTATAAAATGGGGATTTTCCATGGCTATGTTAGTCATAACCAAATGGTAATTCTTATTACCCTCTGGTAAACTAACAGTTTGCTATTGAAAATGGCCCAGTCGAAATAGTGGATGTTCCCAGCTATAAAATGGTGATTTTCCATAGTTTTTTGTATGTTTACCAGAGGGTATTCACCATTAAACCACCAGTTTCCTATGGTTTGATGGAAAATGCCCCCATTTCTGGGGAAATTTTTCGATGGGGAACAACCAACGGTCCTGCCGCGCCTCGGAGAGTGGATGTGGTGAAACGCCGAAGTCCGAGGGCTGGACCTGGCTGTCGGATCCGGATTAGGCTGTCGGGATATAGCACTTAAGATGAATATAATATACGTATCATATCCCATAGGATCCATGTATGGTATATATATAATATATTATATAATATATACATATAATATACACATGGATTCACTATGTTATCACTATATGTGTAACTCATAACTAGGAGGGATAACTCTGCAAGCCCCAAAATTCTGAGTGAGTTCTATCGCTTTCAGGATGTATGATTCTTGTAGCTTCAGCATCCCCAACGAAGCTTGGCACCGTGCTGACCTCGTACTCCTTGATTTCTCCACCCTCCTTCAACTCCCACACCTGTGGCAGTACACTCAGGCTGGAGCTACCCTCTGGTGAACTAACATAGCAATGGAAAATTGCCATTTATAGTGGATTTTCCCATTAAGAATGGTGATTTTCCATTGCTATGTTAGTTCACCAGAGGGTATAGGCTTGTGGTGTGTCAACAAAAGGCATCTTGAGAACAACATCTTGGTTCGGACTTCGGAGCCGAATGATTTGAACGGCCCAAAAAAAAAGAACTGAGCAGTGCAGCACTCCGTCACCTGCGACCCTAAAGGATGCTGACAAATCCGCTGGTGGTCCAACCTTCTCAAAACTTCTCAAAAAGGTCAGGTTTTTCACATTCGTTGTACAAATTGGATGAACTCCTAGCTGAGATCTGAAAATGATCGCTGAAATACGTTTCTTTCTGAATGATTGGTTTTGTGCAAATCCAAAAAGGGCTCAGCCTCGACAAGTATGGACGACCTGGCCATGAAAAAATAAGCCCTTCCATATGGGGATGGGTCAAAACCCTGGTACCTTTTGTTCACCCCAAGTCATAGCTGGGATTTATGGATGTTCATCCCCCTAAAAATGGTATTAATAGGTATTGATCCATAGCCATATCCCATAATATGGTTTTTAGATGTTGTTCGCCAATGATATGCCATAAACCATCCCATTCACCAACCACTGGGGGTCGATTGGTTTTGATCCATCCCCATATCTTTCCACCCCACCTTGGACTTTCCTGCGATAGAAAGCTCATCCAGACCTTCACAGCCATGTACTACCAGCGCACGTTTCATGCCTCAGGCAGGCTGATGTCGCCAGGGGGGATGGGGAAATCTCTACCCTCTGGTAAACGTTTACATAGCTATGGAAAATCGCCATTTTTGATGGGTAAATCCACTATAAATGGCCTATTGAACATAGCTATGTAACAAATTACCAGAGGGTACCGCTTCCGACTGAGGTGCGGAACCCAAAAGTTTGAAGACTTCCACGAAAAGTCGTCCCAGGCTATCAGTGTAAACACCTGGAAAGCTGCTAAGAGTTCTGCGATTTTTTGTGACTGGCATTCCCTGAAAAAACGGGGAGTTGTTGCCAAGAGGATTGTACTTCTGAAAAAAGTCAAAACCTGCAAAATCACTTTTCAATAGTTTTGAATACTTTTGATATCAGTCCATGGGTGAATGACTAGTTGAACCCAATGCCAGTTGCTGCAGCCGCTGCCTTTACGACTATCATTCCATATGTATCCCATTGTCAGTGCGAATTACACCATAAATCCAAATTATTTGAGCAATCTAGGGCAATCTTGAAAGCCGTCAAATGTTTGCTTCACCTTTGATGTTATGAAGACCCTTGTAGACGCTCCCCGCCGCCATCCCTCCGGGTGCTCCGCGCCACAAACCATGGCATCTGGCTTGGCAGGGTTCGTCAGAGGTCCCAAGATGTTGAAGACCTCGGGCGGAGGAATGTCACTGGAGTGGCCCAACGGCAGTTTGGGGCTGCACAATCATTAAGGGCTTCAGGGTCAGCCTTTCATCCCTCCCAGTTCTTTGGCTTCCAACCGTTCGGATGCCTAACTCCTGGACACCGATGGTACAGGAAGAATTGTGATTTTGGGTCTGGTTTGGGTGCGGAAATATCTCGGCATGCCATTTTTCAACCTCTCCCAATGGTGCCAAACCCCAAACCCCCCAGCAGCAGCGCTCCAAGCGAATAGGGCCCACGTGTTTCATGGCAGGATGATAGGACCTGGCACTGAGCAAGGAGAGACCTGGAAACTGCGCTTGGGAAAAAATCACTGACATGAAGCTAGTCACTGATTTAGGGTTAGCCTTAGCTAGGGTTTAGGGTTTAGGGGAAAAAAATCACTGTTAGCCTGGCACTGTCATTCCTGTTTACTGTGGTTTCATCATGTTTCATCCGCCTATGATTCCAGTTTGCACTTGGGAAACACCACCCATGTGCAGCGGCTGGATCTGACATCCCTGTGGTGGAAGGCCCAAATTTGTGTTGGTAAATCCAGGAAAATGTGTACTCAACTCTGGTCATCTCTGGTCCAATTTTTGCTGAGCCCTGAGTTGAACCGGTTGAACCTTAGTCTCCTGGCTTCAATTCCTGTTTTGACAAGTTACAAACGGGCTGTTTGAACCATGGAGTGATCTAGTTTTGGGCCTGGCAAACAAGAAAGCGAAGCTGCCGGCCGCGAGCACGGGGGCCACCTGGCCAAAACGAAGGGCCAAGAGGGGCTGTCAACCCTACCCTCTGGTAAACTAACATAACTATGGAAAATCCCCATGTATAGTGGATTTTCCCATTGAAAATGGTGATTTTCCATAGCTATGTTAGTTTACCAGAGGTAAAGTTGTCCAACTCCTCCGCGCCTGTGATGCGTCAATTTCCAACTGAGCGCCCAGTGCCTTGGCGGCGGCAAACCACCTTCATCAATGGGTTCATCCATCACGCTTGAATGGTCTGTCGAATTGGTGCATCCTCAAAAATAGAAGGTTTGGAGTTTCTACAGACAGGCCCACAGGCGTTGCTCACAATTCCTTGGGAACAAAGAGGTTTCCTCACCACAGGTAGGTCCGATGATTGGAAATATAGTCCCATTACATCACCATATGACATCCCCCATGTTAGGTGATTAAATCCCTTCTATTGTTGATATCCGTATCCTTCATCCACCGCCCACAGAAGAAGTGCCTCGAGGATGTCTGCAGCACCACTCTTCGAGGAGGCTGCACGGTTGCCGTGCTTCACGATACGCACCTCAACCACTGGAATCTGCCAGTTTCGGGCCAGTCTTTCCTATCAAATGGCCACATCAAAACATATTCTGAAAACCAGTGAAGAACGATAAAACCAATCTTTTTCTTTCAAGAAATCATCAGTTTCATGCGCGAAATCGACACGATTTCGCGAGAGGTCAGGTACGACAATGGACCACCAACGGAGACATTGGAAGCCGAATCCGTTGGATCACTTGGATCCCTAACACCAGCTCCAGCTGCGAGAAGCCCTGCAGCTGTGGAGATGTTGAAGGTGTCCTGACAGAAGATGTAGCAAAAATCAGGGGATTTTTTAAAAATTCATAGGGTATCGGATACAGAATGAATTCATATGTCTGAAAATAGCGGATTAAGCACCACATGGCAATTTTGATAGGGGAACAACATTAATTATTTAGGGGCCGACAAAACCATATAGCAGCTAACTACAAATAAAGTACATAACCTTGCAACAAGCCGGACAGCACCATCCTAGCAAAATTGTTTGCTTCAAAACCCAAGCCTCACATGCCCAGCTCTCCTGGAGGGTACTTGATCATTCATCTTCATATCAGAAAGAACATCCCAAACATGAAGAGAAGATCAATGGATTGGGTTCAACGGAAAGCCACAGGAAACCATAGCTGTTTACACCGACCTAGGGGTTTTGCTGTAGATTTACCATCTGGTTATGACTAACATAGCCATGGAAAATCCCGAAAATAAATGGAGGTTTCTAGCTGGGAAAATCATCTATTTCTATGGGCCATCTATACCATGGCTATGTTAGTCATAACCAGAGGCTATGTAGATTTTCCCCAATTGCCCTCCTGGCCATCGCCACCAGTACCCACAATGTCAACTATGAGGCCATCGGATCGTGGCACCTGCGCTCGGAAATCCACCGGTTGCTTATCCCATTGACAGCATAGTTTATTAATGGGATAACCCATTATTAATGGGATCATCCCATTATAAATGTTATACCACCTGAAAATTTTCATTAACCTTGGCAGCCTTGACATTTATATCATTTATCAACCACGGACTGGGAACAATGCACATCTGAACTAGGACAAATCCAGCTACTCATCATTTAGCCAGAAAAGATCCTTTACCGAGAGAAACACACATATCACCATTTATCATATCAGTGACATAGAGATGGTTCGTATCAGTGATGTTGCACAAATGTATGAACCCTCAAAGCAGCTGGGGCACCTTTTATCCGTCTTGAGCCAAAACATATCGTTAGGTGGATATAGGTCTACACATGTTATGTAGGAACCCATACCTAAACACCCCTCCTAAGTTCATGCCTTTAGCATAGAACTTCAAGCTACAAGCTGTTTCGCCTGTCTGTTCCTACCTTCTACAGACACCTGCCCCATGCGATTCATGTGGCACCATGCAGCGTCAGAAGGAAGTGGTTTCGTACACAGGTCAGACAGATTCTGATGTGTACCCACCGGCTCGACCTTCAGAGTTTTGGTTGACACCTTCTCCTGGATCCACAGGAACCTAGTCTGCACGTGTCTTGTCTTACCAAGACCCTTCCTCGACACGATTCCTCTTGCCGCCGAACTGTCGCTCAGCAGAACCAGTTCTGTGTCGATTTTCCACTCGTCAAGCATTGCCTTTAAACCCAATCCTACTGACCCTGCTTTCACCAAAGCGTAGAATTCCGACTCTCCACTGCTGAGGGACACAGTGCTCTGCAGGTTACTACTGTGCTTCACACAGCATGAACCCAACATACACACGATCCCGGTTGTGCTGCGACGGGTCTTCAAGTCGCCAGCGTGATCTGAAGCACAAAACACTCGGATGGTGTTGAACATCTTCTGGGGTCGAAACTTCGATACCACTCGCATGTGACCGGACAGATAACGTCCGAGGCGCTTGAGTTTTCCCCAAGCATATTCGGTAGGATGTTGCATGTGCCGAGCAAGCGATTTCGTTGCTTCAGCCAGGTCGGCACGATCCATTGACAGGTAAGCAGCTCGCATTGTAAGAGACCTGTATTGTGAAACTTGTTCTGGTTCCAAATCGGGCTGCTCTTCAGCCGCGATGACATCTTGAATTTTCTGCTTTTCCGCCGGTGTGCTAACCGGTTTGCAACCTTCCAAGTTTAGGGCTTTCACAATGTATTCAGCATGGCGTGGATCTGCTTCATAGTCCAACACGCCAGTCGTCTTGTCATAGCTGATCACTCTATTGAGTACGCACATTGACGTACCATCTCCTCGTTCTGGACCGATCAAGCCATCCACGCGATATTCAAACTTCTTCTTTAAGCATTCTTCGAGATACTTCAAAGCTTCATCGTCACCAAGGCAAATGAAGTCATCACCGTGAACGATGAAACGCAAGTCCATTTCATCATGGATGAACAGTGCCGGCCATGCTTTGCACTGTCTGAAGTTGTTCTCCGTCAGCAACTGTACGTATGTGGATTGCCAGATGTTGGCAGCATCCAACGTCCCGTACATCGAGCGTTTGAGGAGCGCGCAAGCTCCCTCTTTTTCACTGCCTTCTGGAAGAGTACAGAAAACCCTCCTCTTGGATTCTCCGTAAAAGTGCGCCCTGGAGATGTCTATCAGCATCATTTTGTAGGGCCTGTTCCTTTTGCTGGTGCGCTTCGACACCATCAACGCACAAAGCACTTTGAGAGATTCCAGCGGAGGCATTGCACTAAAGCTTTCGAACTCCGCCAGTGATTTCGATGCCTTCTTCACTTCCCGAACCACCAAGCGAGATCGGTAGTTTGGATGACTGTCGTCACCCTTGTTGCGGTCCACCCACTTAAGGGTTATTGGAGGACGGTTGGTCTCCTCCCAGCACATAGTGGTGGGAACAACATCCCATAGCTGCTGCTTCTCCACCCACTTCATCTCTTCCTTTCTGGCTTCCAAAACTTTCGCTGGATCCAGTGGCATGCCTGTCACTGAGTCCACATAGTCGCTGACAGTCTCGTCCACAAAGCTTTCGGTTTGGTCATTTGAGGTATCATCGGGTGAGGGACCCGATGTGAGCTCTGCCAAGGTACTGAGTTCGCCTCGAACTCGAAGCTCTCGCCGAATTCCATCCAGAATTGCAGAGACCAGTTTCGGTGGATAAGTCTGTGCAGCACGAGCTCTGCCATTGATCAGGTGTACATGCCTGTGTCCACCTTCACACTTTCCTTCGATACACTTTGCCATTTCAGGAGAGTTGGTCAGCCAGCAGGTGTCCTTCCTGACATATCCCACACCCTGCTGATCCTCAGCGACCATCTCCCACTTGCACATAGGCGACTCTACCTTGTACACTCCAGGCAGGCTTGCCAAGCGCTCGACTTCCGGTTCCTGCCAGCTTGCGCTGGGTTTCGGATGTTCATGCAGAAAGAACCTGCCATGGTTGTGTTGCTCCAAATAGCATTCCACAGCCACCTTCAAGTGCGTTCGACCTTCTTCTAAGATCTGTTGGTTCTCTTCATCCGTTCTTTTGTACTTGCTGAGATTCTGAAGTGGACTGAATGGCCCACACGGAGGTGATCCGACAAGGAATAGCGGTTTCTCCTTCTTCAGGAGCCTCCTCAACTCTCGCTGATCTGTGTCCTTTGACAGATCCCAATGGTCTCCTTTCGAGTTCTTGGAAACCATCAAATCAACTGCAAATCCAGGTCGAAGACCGAAAAGGTTAGCCTTCGAAGTGAAACGCTCGGGATTGTAGATCTCGGCCACGTCGCTTTTGCTGATTCCCATGGAGCACAGTAGTTGGCTGATCTCGTAGATCTCTTTCTTGGACTCCAGTTTATGAAACATGTTGGCTTCCAAAACGGAAACCATGTCCGATTGCCCAGGTCCTTGACTCTGAGCTGCCGGTGCCTCACTTCCTTGAGCTGGAGGTGCTGGATCGTTAGATCCACGGGCCTCTTCTCTTTCAGCCACCTGAGCTTCTCGATGGCTCTCTTCACCTTCTCTCTTTTGTCCCCTCTTCTCCGGAGACTTCTGCCTCTTGGCTGCCCCTCCTGGGGAAGACCCTTCCTCCTCCAAAGGACGTCTCACCGGGTCCGGTCGGACCAAAGGTCCGACTCGACCCTCGGGTTGTCCAATGGCTGCATCTGCCGCCATCTCGACAGCATCGTCTGGGCCATCCCGCAGGACCGACTCATTCGGCTCATCCGCGTCCGCTGACGCCTCGCCTTTCCTTTTCTGAGCCTTCAAGACTCGAGCCCGTCCTTCCTCAGTCCGAAGAAGTCTCTGTTGCACCAGGGTTCGGCACTCACTACTGTGAGCTCTTGCTGGCAGTCCAACTTGAATCGCATTGCAACCTTCGCATCCAGCTGTGTAGTTTCCCTCCACGTCGGCTTTCTTGACATAGAGGTTTCTTGGCAGCGAATCTCGATCCGCTGGGACTGGCATCAGTCGTACGCCAGGCTCAACTGCAGGCATTGCAATCGCTATTGGTGCGTCCAAGTCTTCTGGCTTCTGTGGCCTCATTTTCCACGGAGTGCCGCACATCTGATCGAAATCTTCCGTCGACCAGCGCTTCTCCTCCGGCATCCGTTTCACACTGCCACCTTTGATCACACCGTCCTTGGTCATGACCAGTGCGTCGCCGTTGCGACCATGGGCCCCCATGAACATGCCTTCCCGCATCGTGTCATAGGGCCCTTCCAGATAGCTCTTCAGAGGCTTGAACCACACTCTTTCACCAAAAGTGACGGATGGTCGTTTCCACCGTCTGCCGCGAGAACGCTCATATGGCGTTCGTCCGTCCGTTCCCACTCTGAAGCGGGAGATCATGAAATCAGCATGACGACCGACCCATGCAAGAATCGGATGCCGATCTCTCACCTGAATCCCCAGCTTTTCTTCCAGGGAACTCTTCATAGCCTTGATCTGCCTTTTGGTTTCTCTAACGGCAACTTCACAAGCGCCGTTTGCCTGCGAGTCTCCTGTCTTTGACTCCTCCAAGACGATCTCAACCGTCTTGATGCCTTTCTTCACAGCCTCCTTGAGGGACTTGATCGAGTTCTCATTGTCCCACTTCAGCACCAGTCTCCTGTACCCTGACTCCTCAAGGCACTGGATGACGAAGTTCACCGCGTAGTTGTCTGCGCCCTTGGCTGGAACCACGCTGCACCACATGTAGCCAGTGTACTCGTCTTTGACCTGCAACGAAGGCAATTCGCCTTCAGGCTCCACTTCCGGCCGATTCTTCGAATCCCTGCCCATCCAAAAGTAGTCCATTGAAACGATGGGCAAACCACGTTCATCTTTTCCTTGTTCAGGTTCGCTAGGATGCCGCTCATGCAGTCCACGAGCGCGCATACAGTGGCCACACCAGGTCCTATGGATGGTGTGCCCTGTTGCTTCGTGCTCTTCGATTTCCTCCTTTGTTGGTGAAACCGGCGATCGAAGCAGCTTTGGCTTTCGACCGCTCTCCTCATCTTGCATTTCTTCTGGACTTACGGATTCACCTGCCTGGTGAAACCCTCGTCCATTGCTCCAAGATTCTTGCCAAAATGGCTTGACTCGTACCGTTGACCGAGCCATTCAACCAAAGATCGAAGACAAAGATGCCCTTCTGCTCATAGAGTTGCGTAACTTGTTGGGCTTCCCCAGGGTGCTTCTTCACCAGGTCGTCATACGCAGCACGGAGTCCTTGAGCAATCTTGCCATGCTTCGGGATGATGACGCCCTTGCCATCCATGAGCATTACCACATTCTTCTTTGAGACTGCGGTGCCGCTCGCCAGCATTCGGTGGACGTCGATCAACCGACCTTCAACACTTTTGCCAATGCCATTGCTGTCGTACCCTTTGACGACGACGCCTCCACTGTCGGAGAGAAGTTCACCAGAGGCCGTCTTATATGAGGCATTGTTTGGATTCTCATCGCCCCGAATCAATCCAGACTTTTCCAACTCGAGGGGCACTGCCGTGACTGCAGCGCCAGTGTCGAAGTTCACCACCAACTTCGTCCATTGCTCAGAACTTCCATGGCAACTGTTCCAACCGCCTTCAAAGGAATTGATCTCCTGCACCTTGCCAAAGGTCTTGACCACCACGTCGTTGCGTCTCTTGATGAATCCAATTTCACGATCAACCTCAGAGTGGCCCATATTGCATCGTGCACCTCGTCGACAAAACGATCGTTTGAAGTCACTGCACATCATGCCACCCTTGGGATGTTGCAGATAGAAAGCATCTTCATTCTTTGCCTTCCTTCTGCGAGCTCTAGCGGTTTTGACCCGAAAGGATCTTTCCAACTTCTTGGATTCGGTCATTGTTCGTTGACGTTTCTTGTGGATGTCGACCCGTTGTCTGCTCATGACACGCTGTTCATCAGCGCGTGTCTCAGTCTTGAACTTGGCAACTTCATCTTGGGTCAATTTCCGGTATGACCTCGACGACTTGACAAAGACACCAGCGTCCTTCCGCTTGAGATGCCCTCGACGAACCAACTTTGGCTTTCCACTCAAAACTCGGATCTTGTCCTCCTCGATGACTACTGCCTCTGTCTCGATGCCTCCTAAAGTTTCGTCGTGGTACTCCTCGTCCTTGACCTTCTTGCTATCGAACTCCTTGTGCCAGGCTTCATCCAAACGTAGCTTCTCCTCAGCGCGTTCCTTGCCTCCAGATCGTCGATGAAGAGTTGCCTTGCGCCGCTTCTTCTCCTCGAACCAAGCCTTTGAGGGAGAGACGCCAGCCTTCAGCGCAGCATGATATCGAGCGTCATGCCAGCTTTGATCGTTCACTGTTGCCTCAGTGAGCTTGAAGCTTCCTTGAGCCTTCTTTTCCTTTGCCTCCCTGTCGTTCTCGCGGATCTTCTCTTTGAGCTCGTTCTTGCGAGCATCGATCTCTGCGATGCGTTTCTCAATCTGCTTGTACTCGTCCTCGTCGTCGCACTCTTCAAGCTCCTGGACTTTCTCGCGTTTCTCCGCATCTAAGTTGGAAACTTCCAAGAGCTCCACGGTTCGATGCATCGCTTGGGTTGACGAAGTTCCGATGGGTCGAGACGGTGTTGGGAGCTCGGCCGATCCAGAGGATCGACTCGGCTCTTCCGCCTCCGGAGCCGACCGAAGACCAAAGGTCCGGTTCGCTCCTTCCATCAGCGACTTCGAGACCCTTTCGAGGAAGCCGATTCTAAGATCATTGCGATGATGTTCGACCAGCTTCAGAGACTCCGCATTGGATTCCCGGCTCAACGACAAGGGGTCGTGCTTGTCTCTCAACTCCTTCTTTTCATCCTCACTCAAACCATTGAAGTGGTCGATGGTGATGCCTTTGAAAAGACAGATTGTCTTGTCCAGGACATAGTGGAACTTCTCAGGCTTGAGGATCTTGAGATAGTCACGAACTGACTTCTTCTCAGGCTTGTCCTTGGAGGATTCTTCAACAAGGCGTTCACGTTCCAAACCACAGACTCCACACTCGTGGTCATGGTGCTTCTCATTGGAGTTCTTCTGACACCTGAAGTGAAAGCAAACGTCACACGGCTCAGCGCAAGTCGAATCCTCGGACTTGACCATCACGTACTTGTCACCTTCAGGACAAACAGTCACAAAAGTTGAAGAACTGCTCGGTTCAGCATCCTCCTCCATCTTGACGTCGTCCTCGCTCCATTCCTCCAGCATGGCAATGCTGAGGAACCCAGTGTCCAAAGGTTCGGCTTGAGGCTCTTCTTCAAGGTTTCCAACACCCTTCGATTTGCCACCTGACTTTGCCTTGGCATTGGCTGTTGGTTCTTGTTGGCAGCACCTCCACCGGCCGCCCAACAATCCTTCTTGAGGTGTCCGATCTTGTTGCAATTGTGGCAAACTCGGGTCTCTTTGGATCCACTACCGGACCCTTTGCCCTTGTTGTCGGTATGTCCAGATCCTTTGCCGGACTTGCCTTTCGACGAACCCTTCTTGCCATCTCCTTTGCCTTTCTTGCCTTTGCCCTTCTTGAGAAAGAGCCCGCGTCCATTGGGTCACCACCAGAAGCTGAATGCGCACCAGATGCATCTCCAAGCTTCAGTCGGTGTCCAAGTCTCGTTTCCAAGAACATCACCAACTCCGCCCTGACGTCAGCGTAATCGCTGTAGCGACTGCGATTCCGTTGTAGGTGTCGTTCTATCTCTACGGGGCATAATTGCTCAAGGATCGACACCTTGATCTCGGAGTCCAACTGTTGCCGGGTGCCATCAGATCGTCTTCGCTGCTCGTATTGACGAACATTTTCTTCCCAAGTCTCCACTGCCGCCCACAGATGATCCAACTTCGTACATTTCTGTGGTGACAGGATTGCCCGAAGCATTGCACCACGTCGTCCACCCGTGCTAGGATCGAAGCGTCGATTCAGTTTGCGCCACGCTTCAAGTCCTTGAGATTTTCCAGCCGACCTCACCACCTGAAAAGCCTCTTTCTCGCAAAGCGTTTGCAAGATGGCGTACAGCTGACCAGAGATCTCCTCCACATCCTCAATAGTCTGATGGGTCGGATTCACTGGTCCAAAGGCCGCTTTGATCTCCGTCGCAGTGATCTCGGTGTCGAAATCTTCTGCCCACTCCAACACTGCCTCCATCTTTGGGTGCACGCTGGTGATGAAAGCTTCCATCCTGGTCTTCCAGTACAACCAATTGGACTCTTCTCCAAGAAACCTGTCAGGCTTCGCCAAGCCGCGATTGTCCACCAAGGTCACCTTCTTGTCAGGCCGATCGCGCAACGCCTGAACCAGGTCATTCTGACTCCTTGCAAGCTCCTGGAACGCTGCCCCAACATTGGCTTGAAACGCCGCCTGTTGCTGCTGTGCTTGGGCTTGGGCTTGCTGTTGCTGTCCATTCAAGACCTGATCCAACTGTTGCCTGAGAGCCGCTTCACGCTGTTGTGCATCCGTCTGCCCAGCTGTCAGTTGCTCCACCTGTTGTCTAAGAGTCAACTCACGTTGTTGTGCCTGCTGCATGTTCGCCTGGAGTTGCTGGACCGTGTCGATGAGCTGCTGCGCGGTCATTGCTCCTTGTCCTTGAGTTGCCGCCATTGCTGCAAGTGATGTCCCAAGTTGGCCCAGATACGTCTCAACCTGCGGATCCTAATCACTTTCCTGACAAGTCTCTCCCACCTGTCAGCCACGCTCCGGTCCTCCACGACCAAAAGCCTGGACGCGCCGATCCAAAGGATCGACAGCAGTCCAATGGCTATTGCGATGATCCACCAATGGTCAATCGCCACAAGGATCAGTGCAGCTAGCTCAACCAGACGCTCCGCTACCATGCACAAATGTATGAACCCTCAAAGCAGCTGGGGCACCTTTTATCCGTCTTGAGCCAAAACATATCGTTAGGTGGATATAGGTCTACACATGTTATGTAGGAACCCATACCTAAACAGATGTTTTCCTCTACCATATCCCACATATTTGTTTTATATCACTAACATGATAAATCATTTATGTCCATATCAGTCCATATCATTTCATATTATTTATCAGTGATTTACCACTGCCAGGTACCATATCAGTGACATTGTTTCATATCATTTACCATATTTCACTGATATGATAATTATGATACCTCCAATCTTTACCACATTTCATTTTTCATATCATTTACCATATCATTTACCATATCATTTGCCATATCATTTACCGTATCATTTACCATATCATTTACCATATCAGTGATATTTCTATCAGCCCATCTGAAACAGAGGTTGCCTCCACGGGCAGCGCGTTGGAACGCATGACGTGGGCCAAGGAGTGCACCTTCAAAACGCATGACGTGGCATGACGGGCATGGTAAAAAAAAAAGAAGCAAATGGATAAGAAGCGGCTTATGTTTTTTTCATATCTAACTTCTAGTGATCTCTCAAAATTAGAGATATGAATCTAGTATCTATCTAGTTGGTCATGAAATTTCTTTTCCGACCGGGGCCATTCTACTTCTCCCGGTGATGAAACGTCACTGCCGGCTGGGATGCCCGAGCAATTTCAGAGCTACACTTTTCCAGCCTCAGTGGCAGGTTGGGAGTTGCCAGAGATGGATCATGTCATTTACGACAACCATGGCTTCTGGGTTCTTGTGGATATCAAACTGCCATATCATCGTGATATCATTCCAGCTAAAGGGGCTGCTTCCACAAGTTCTGCCGATCTTTCGATAGCAAATGGTTACCACCTGCAGCCACCAAAGTGCCACCCACAAAGCCCAACCCTGGGTGTCTGTGACGTGAGCAGGGCCAAGAATGCACCCACTTGGGCGGGGCTTGCCTGGCAGGTCAAATGCTGATTCTTCACAAAGAAATCTGCGATGACAAAAGGAACAGCTTTTCTTCACCAGCATTTTAAGACCAAAACTTGGCAATGCCATCCACTGGATTTGAAATCGCCATGACTATGGCTGGCATGTGAGTACCGTCACATATTTGAAATTTCGCAGCCATTCGCTCCGAAATGCACTGAGAATTTGGCACATTTTTCCCATCTATATAATCAAAACATTCAGCCATTCTCAAAGTCCTGTCTGTGTCCTTTCCAAGTTCAGATATTTCAATGAGAATCTGTCCTAAGGATAGACAAGAGTCATTCATCAAATCATGTTAAATCCTAATACTTGTTGTATATACATATTCTTAGTATTTCTTAGTTATGTTGTCCCCATAATATCCCCATAATAATATATATCCCAATTAAAATGGCACCCTTCCCCCACTTTCGCGAAGCCTCACCCCCCATAATCTCCCGCATTGCTGAGCTGGCCTTGGGAGGGAGAGATGGTGGGAAAACCATGTTGGTTTTTCAGCGAAATGGGAAATCCGTTATGTTTTCCAGCAATCATCTGAAAATAGGGTATATTCCCAATGAAATAGCCATTTAATAGGGATAATGATCAGCAAAACCATTGGGTTTAGGGGTACACTATTTTCAGACACACCCATCTCACAACACAAGCAACAGGATGCAACAGGAACATTTTTTTCTGCATCTTCCCGTCCGTATAAAATCAACAACTCTACTGAGAATCCCTTCAAGCAGGGACCAACTGATAATAACTAGAGAAAACCAACTAATCCAGCAGGTCCCCAAAAAGACCCTTAGACTCTTGGAGAAATCGTTGTTTTGAACATGTAGAAAGCCAGCCTCCTCGCCAGTCAAGGATGCACCAGAAGCCAAGGTTTTCACGCAGGCCTTTACACTGCCGCCTGGCAGAGAGTTCCCCTTTCATGACACAATGTGAATCCAGGATCATACACCACCAATGTATAGGGAGGGTACCCTCTGGTAATTTAACATAGCTATTGAAAATCACCATGTTTAATGGGAAAATCCACTATAAATCACCATTTTCAATAGCTATGTCAAATTACCAGAGGGTACCAACTTTAAAATGTGGTAGCTGATCACTATTTGGGGCTAGCCGGCTAGCCTATTATCCAATTCGTATAGTCAGAGTTTACTAGTTCGGGCTTGACATCATAAGCACAAGATATGGGATCCACTGGCATACCCTGGCCACTCAGTACCTGGCTGAATCATTGTAATTAGGTTCGATTTCGACAGTCATAGGTTCGAACATCGGAATGGAAGGGTGTGTACATATGTATATTATATATATATGTATACATATATATATATGATAGACAATTACTGTGAAGTTTGCATTTTAAGTTACATACATTTACTATGATGGCCAAGGTTTTTGAGACTCGACAGGTATGTGAAAAGCCGGCATGGATTCTTGTAGAAAGTCGGTAGTGTTCATGTACTGTGGAGTACAAAAAACTGTAGCGAAGCAAGTCACAACCTTCCTAAACACTCAGAGGTGGGATGTTGTTCACACTGGATCCAATGCCTGCAGGCTTGATCTTCTTGGCATCCGACATGTTGACGGCGGCAAAATTGAAGTGATCGAGTCCGGGACGATGCTGGGGTTTGACACTGGGGTTTGACACCTTCCATGGTTGGCGATGGGATTTCACTTCGAAATGTCAAAATCTTCCGAATTCAAGAATAGTATTCTGGATGAAGTAGTGAATTATACTGATACAACTAGCAGTTAATTGTACTGCAGGCAGGCTGTGTGAAAGTGCACAAATTTTCCAGGACTCGGAACCCTCCAGAAAGTCGCTGAAGCCAAAAGCTGGTGAAACGTGTGCACGGTACCAGTGAGCAGGATAAGGAAGATCCTTCCACAACGATGAGAACACATCTCTGGGGCCTCATGATAAATATCTTACCCATAGAAGTGGAGCATGGTCAGCTACACTGATCTTTTCACACATGGCGTCTGCGACTTCGCATTCTCAAGCCTCGGCGGTGAATTTCGAGGACTGGATTTCAAACTTTTCAAGTTTTGTTTCTTTGGAAATCAGCAAATTCCGGATCTTCCTATGATTCCAGCTTGAAGTCCTTGTGGTTCTGTGGAGGAGACACACAAATCATCAACTGCAATGGCACAATTCAGCAAGGCATTGGCGGCACGATTTTCTTAGCTGTTCTTTCAATCCATTTTGTATTGAGTTTAAACCCATTTTCGTGTATCCAGGTGACCAGGTGGGTCCGTTGTTGAACAACCTCTTGAATTCTTGAAGTTGATATTGCTAACTTCGGTGTTGGAAGGGCCAACCCTGGGCCAACCCTCCTAACGATGACGCTTTAACGACGCTTCAAATTAATCTCCAAGAATCTGCCTAAATTGGCGGAAACCCAGCTGAACATCAACTGTTCCCCAGTTGGCTATAGATCTATAGATCACGTCCCTGGTACACAAAATAGCTGCTAAATGGATGGTCCCACATCTCAAATATGGTATTAGAATGTATTAGATAAGTTGAAAAAATCCATTAACTCATTATATAACTAAATATATTCAAATATGGTATTAGAATGTATTAGATAAGTTTCAATTCCATTAACTCATTAACTCATATTAACTCACCATAAAATCATTTTTTTGAACCAATGAATTGAAGTTAAATACCATTGAATCCACGGGTCCCATTTGGAAATCAAGAGCTGCAGCCGAAAAACCTAGGCTGCCAGGTTCTGCACCTGACAAATCTGCTTGGTGGTGCAATAACCAGCTTGAAACATGATGGAGTTCGTGAATGGGAAGAATTATCCCATATATGAAATGGAAAAAAAAATGTTTGAAACAACCAACCAGTAATCAATGTACAGAGTGTAGATACCATAGATGTGGTATAGATACCCATTGAAATACTATTGATCCCTATAGATAACATTCTTCAAGAGTACAGTACATTTCGTTTCACCTACATCAGAAATCAAATCACATCTCTGTCAACAACAACTGTTGGGCAAAATGCCACCGATGAACCCACCAGGAACTGCCGGTGAAGTGCTGCGGAACCTTCTTGGCAGCCTCTCCAGCGGCAGCACGTGCCTGTCGGACATGGTGGTGGGACAGCCTGTTTGGCATTCATGATATGTAGGATCGATTAGGATCAGATGTGTGTGCCAATCCACGTACGTATCTATTTATACACATCAATACATGAATATGTCATGATTTGATGATTGGAATCTCTGGCGACCAAAATCATCCAAAATACCTTCAGCACAAAGTCACATGGCCAAGGCTGGAGCACATCCCAGTGCCTCTTGCAATGATCCTTGCGCCTGGACAGTGGGAAATGCTTCGGAAAGGAAGATGGTCTGTTGAAACTGTGTGCCATCTCTGGGAGAAATTCATACCAGCAACCAATCCCTTCCAAACTACCCTCTGGTTATGTCAAAATAGCTATTGAAAATGACCATTGAAGTAGTGGATTTTCCCAGTGAAAATGGTGATTTTCTATAGTTTTTTGTATGTTTACCAGAGGGTATCAATTGCTCCTGGAAAATCATCCAAAACATCCCATTTTGGACCAACAGGACCATGGCCAAAGCATGGCCCACAACGGAAGCCACTGGGCGCACCATTTGCTGCGCCATCGCCACGCTGGGTGCTGCATCAGCGGCTTGGGCCATTGCCTGACCAGCGGGGACACATTTGGGGGGTTCGTCAACACACATTGGGGAGTTTTAACCAACAAACATGTTCCTGGTTGGTGGTTTCAACCCCTCTGAAAAATATTAGTCAATGGGAAGGATTATCCCATATACTATGGAAAATAAAAAATGTTTGAAACCACCAACCAGGTTCTTTAGGTAATCACAGCTTTAAGCGCCAACAATAATCACCAAACATCATGGAAACCGACAAACATGAGGTGATGTATGACTGATAGAACCCAAAGATGTGTCCATAATGGCTGAACATTAAACATGTCCAATTTTTGCAAGTCGCAACGAGTCTTGGCTTCCAACACATATATAGATCAGGAATGGTGAACTGAAGACAAGAAGATTGAACTTTTCCGAAGTGATTTTGTTGCCTAGCGCATTTGGGGGTATCTTGTTTACTGCTTGTGTGCAGTGTATCTAAGATCGCTTCAAAACAAACATCACACCCAACATTTAGTGCCCCTGATTGGTGTCCAACATTCTCATAACCTTCAAGATTCATCAGATTGATATCTTTTTTTCACCACAGAATATGATATGGTTTGAAACCATCAAGACAATCAAACGAATGGCTGTTTGGATGGAACCCCAAAGAACAATGAATTTACCTTCTGGTTATGTCAAAATAGCTATTGAAAATGACCATAGAAATAGTGGATTTACCCATTGAAAATGGTGATTTTCCATAGTTATGTTAGTTTACCAGAGGGTATAGGAAATGGAAGCACAGCAGAGTCGCTTTAAAAAACACCTGAAATACAATGGTGGGGAAATGGCAAGGTAAAACGATCACGTTTTTTCCCTTCCAAAGTGGGCTATGGCATGCTATGGTTCACCTCACTGGCCATCTTCTGCGCGTCGGCCATGCTGGGTGCTCCCTCAGCTGCTTGGGCAAGTGCCTGCGAAGAGGGATGCAGTTCTGCGTCATGGGGGATGGGGCCCCACCATTGAAACATGGGGAAACTATCGGATTCTCAAAGGGATTGTTTTTTTTGGGTTCCAACGTGTGAGACACGTGAGACACGTCCATACGCCGTGTTGCAATTTCTGGATGTTTGCAGTTTTCTAAGCATGTCCCTCATGTCAAAAAAAAAACAGTTGTGAAGAAGAGTATACATTCTATCCAGTCTTGAATAAAGATTGACAAACATATGTATCATATGTTGCTAAGAACTCTACTTTTTTGATTCTTCCCGGTAACGATAAAGACCCAACCAACACGTCGGAGTTACCTCTTGTGCTTGCTGCTTGGCCATATCTGCTGCAGCTGCCGCCTACAAAAATGCTCCAACTGAGGTGGCCTAGAAATTTCATGTGTTGAATTCTGCCTGAGGTGGCTAATATTCAAAATGACCATTGAAATAGTGGATTTTCCCATTAAAAATGGTGGATCTTTCCATAGTTATGTTAATTTACCAAAGGGTAGTTGAAGGCAGATTCTCAAATTTCGGACCAGTCATGACTGGTTTGGATTTGAAATAAACTCACAAAATATGTCTTTTAGACTGTACAAGTTGTTCATCGCCAAGATGCATTCGCCAGTTGGAGGTGCCCATAAAGAGTGGGATGTTTGCATTCCCACGAATCCAGAATTCTCAACGGAAGCTTCTTTTAACACAGGCGAAGCCGATCAAAAATTACTTTCGGAGATATGAAATATTAACCATTCTCAATAGACTCCTGAGGTTTTACGAACCGCGAGACCATATGGCACTTGTTTTCGCAGGTAGGACGTAAAGGCTTAAAATTGACTGTGACACCGTAAAAAAATCCGCAAATTATCTTTTTTCTCCAACAACGCAGCCACCTCCAAGCTAAGAAACTGGGCGAAGACGGCGTAGGCGAATGCCATTTAATTTGAATGCAAGCATCACTCAATCAAAAGAACTCATGTAAAGGTGGCACAAAATTGAGCGGATTATTTTTTGCAGCAAATCTGGAGGCACACCCCATCAAGAAAGCGAAGATATGATCCGGAAAATGGAATGAACGAGAAATGTGCAGAGAAGCTACGTGGCAAAATCCAAAACTCAACAAATGTGTAGATCTCAGGGCAATAATGGACAGCTGGTGGGATTGGAACAGTCGCATGGCAGCTCGCTTGAACCTTTGGACAAGCACTTTCAAAGTCATGGCTTGATTTATGAAACCCGGAAAGTATCCAAACTGGAAAACAAAATCTGCCATGATTTCAACCCACGACGTTCTATGGATGGATCTATGCGATCCAACGACCCATGCCGATTGGAAGAAAAATTCACAAATAGCGCCAGCTACGCTGGGGCTAAGCCGCATGGGTCCGGCAGCCAAAAATGCAGGATCTGGACTTGTGACTAATGGCTGCCACATTTCTTGGGGATAAGCGATGGCGATATACCTGTTATGGTGAGAAGATACTCTAGTTCTGATAAAAGGACTAATTATCTGATGCAAGTCGTCCAGAAAGTGGAATCTGGTACCCTCTGGTAAACTAACATAGCTATGGAAAATCACCATTTTTAATGGGAAAACTCACTATAAATGGCCATTTTCAATAGCTATGTTAGTTTACCAGAGGGTAAGAGAGAGCATGTTCTTTAGGTCCACCATGCATTTTCCCCTGCGAGATTCAACCTCGCCTGTTCCATCAGTACCTTGATTTGAGCCAACATCTTCTCGATCTCCTGCTCGATTGGACATTGCGGGACCTTCAATCAGTACTTTTTGGCATCTGAATCATTTATAGGCATATTGGCCATGTGTATCCATGTGTTGGCCATGTCCAAATAAGTTTGATGCTTACCCTCTGGTAATTTAACATAGCTATTGAAAATGGCCATTTATAGTGGATTTTCCCATTAAAAATAGTGATTTTCCATAGTTATGTTAAATTACCAGAGGGTACATCCACATCTTTGGGCCATCTTCGAACCGTCCTCTCCAGTCTGCTTCTCCAGCATGGCAGCTTTGCGGCGCGCCTCTTCAATCACCTGGAGCCAATCGAGCTCGATGGCGGCAACGATCAGAAAAAAATCATAAGGCCATCCAGAGAACCACTAGAAAACCATCATGAAACGATATAAACATAGCGAATACATGTGAAAAACCATCCCTACTGCCATTCAGTGTGCCCTGGCCTCTAAATTCAACTATGGTTCGCTTGATTTCATCAACACTGCGTTGTTTTTCTCTGAGGTCAACTGGAAGCCAGTTTGCCTCTTGCACCCAAAATACTCCGCCTCCGCTCCATGTGCTTTGGCCACTTCCAGGTTGCCTTTGGCTGATGGACAGAAAGCTCTCCTTTGATGGGTTCACTATTGACAGAACTAGTTCATCTCACCAAATTTTGTATATGTATATATATATATATACATATGTATGTATACACACATGTATGGATTTCACCCTTACCTGTGACATTGAGACTTCCACAATTTGGCGCAACTGGACTTTAATCTAGCAGTCTATGGTTGCTCTGCTGCAACTGGAGATCAATAGATCAATGCATGCTTATTGAATCATTGTCTATTCTCCAGACATTTGCTTCAAATCACCAGGTTAGAGGTTACAGGCTGTCCATCTACCCATTGTGGTTGCTGTATCATCAACGCGTAGGGCAACTTGGTAAATGGGCTGATCATCCCGCCACTCAGAGAATCCCATGAGCTATGTGACATCTTCCCTGCCATTCTGCCTGCTGCAATGCGTTCGGCCTGTGCAGCACAGTAACCTGGCAACGTGGCAGATGGAAAACACAGTAATTATGATACATGTGCATGATTTTGCATGGCCTTGTCAGGTTGCCGGAGGATATTCCTTTTGGGCAGGTATTTATCTTCTGGATACATAATTATCAATGTGTGTGTGTATCTGTTTATATATATATACATATATATTATATTATATATATATATATATATTATATTATATATATATTATATATTATATATATATTATATTATATATATTATATATTATATATATATATATATTATATTATATTATATAAATATATATATTATATTATATATATACTGTGTATATATATATATATACTGTATATATATATATATACATACGTGTATGGATGGCATAGAACTGCCTAGACCTTGCAACAAGCTCCGCAGCTCTCCCAGGATGGCACCTCCTTGAGAGACCATCTCAGATTTCATGGCATCCACTTCAGCATTCTTAGCCTGATTTTAGGTCGGCCGCAGATCTTGGGGTCTTTGGATGTTGCATATGTTGCTGTTGTGGCTATTTTTTCCTGAAAGAAACATGTTGGTATTGGAGTCTCTCCACCTCTTCCGATATTTTAGGATGTTGAGAATTCATTGGAAATTGCGAGATGGGTCTTCCATCATCCAAAAACTTGGTGTCCCAAGGGGCCCACAAAAAGCAATGTCCAGTATCAGATTCATCAACTTGCCAGGCCTCAAGTTCCGCCTTCAATGCGGCCAATTGCTTCTCAGTCTGTGACATCTCCTGATGAGATGGTCCATGGCTGGCCATGGCCATGGCTCAAAACTGTGTGGTACAGATAGTTTCAAAAAATGTAGCATTTTGGGGGTCTGAAATTCTGAAAGATCCATTTTTGGGAGATGTTGATCATGATTTTGGAGCCATACTGATCATCTTCCCCTGCTCCTTGAACTTATCCCATCTCCAAAGCAGCTTTCAAAGGTATCGCTGAAATCATGCAGCGGTTCCTGAGAGAGACCATCCTTCTCGCGCATCTGAGCTGCCTTGGATGGTGCCATTTTGTCATAGTTTGATCATCTGCACTGCAGCACTGTTTGATCATCATCACTGGGCTAGTGAAGGGAGTAAAGAAAGATGCAACGGTTCTATCACTGTGTTGATTTTGGCAGAAATTCAGAGGAACTCCCAGCAAAACCACCATGGAAATGTTCGGCATCTCTCTCTCTCTCTCTCTATTCATCACAAAACATGTACCCTCTGGTAAACGTTTACATAACTATGGAAAATCGGAAAATCACCATTTTTCATGGGAAAATCCACTATAAATGACTATAAATGGCCATGTTGGGGACACGAATCTGCCCATCCACCATCGCTGGGGATGCACACCAAGCGAGAGCACAAGACATCGGTGGAGCCGCGCAACAGGACGGCCTGGCTTGGAGCTGGCTATGACCAGCTGGTTCTCCTTTTCATGACCATCATTTTATAGCTATATAAATGGATTATCCATTGGTTTACAAATGGATAGTATATAAATTGGATTGTAAATGGATAGTATATAAATATGGATTATCCATTGGTATACTATCCATTGGTTTATCCAACAATTTTCAACATTTTTCATTCAGAAAAAAGAGGATTAATCATCGCCAGCTCACCTTTCCCACCCAGCCTTCACCAGAATTTGCGCCACTGGAAGGCCCATGCTCATCTGGTCGAAAGCCTGGGGCAGCTCGGAGTTGCACTGGGCATCCAGCGGTGATGGCGATCAAGACATCCATCCAAAGCAAATATGAAAAAATATGGAAAAATATGGAAAAAATATGGAAAAATATGGAAAAATATGGGAAAATATAGAAAAATATGGAAAAATATGGAAAAACCATAGGTGGCATGACCTATCCCCATCTCCAAGCTGTAACCTTGGCTTGCCATGGGCCTTGGCTTGCGCCACGATCTTCTCTGCGATGCTGTCCATGCCTCGATGGGGATCTGGCGGAGCCAGCAGGTACAAAGGGAGGTCAAACATCCGGAAAAAAACCATCTGGAATCCGCCGACCCCGCTTGCAGCAGGGGGAGCGCGTCAGAGGAGGAATTACCAGCAGCAAGGGCCAAGAAGTCATTACAGTCCCACGGTCTCACTTTGCTCTCTGTCGATTTGGCGAGAAGGAAGCAGGCCAAAAGGCATTACAAGCAGCAAGGGCAAGAAGCAAGAAAACAAGAAAGAAGAAGCAAGAAGCAAGAAGCAATTACAGGCAACAAGCGGCGAAGAAGCAAGAAACAAGAAGCCAGGAAGCAACACGCGGCTGGAAGACAGGTCCGAGAGCTAGTTTTGTTGTCGATTCAGACAGCACCGTTAGGCAGGCGGCTGGAAGACAGCTCAGAGAGCTAGTTTTCTTGTAGGTTCAGAAAGCAACGTTAGGCAGTGGCGGCCGTGGCCCGCAGGCCCGGTCCGTCCCTCAGCGCCCTGCTGTTTCGCTAGTTTTCTTGTAGGTTCAGAAAGCAACGTTAGGCAGTGGCGGCCGTTCAGACAGCTAGGTTTCTTGTAGGTGCAGAAAGCAACGTTAGGCAGTGGCGGCCGTGGCCCGCAGGCCCGGTCCGTCCCTCAGGGCCCTGCTGTTTGGCTGTGGCGCAGGCGCCGTTTTGGGTCAGACAGCTAGTTTTTTTGTAGGTTCAGAAAGCAACGTTAGGCAGTGGCGGCCGTGGCCCGCAGGCCCGGTCCGTCCCTCAGAGCCCTGCTGTTTGGCTGTGGCGCAGGCGCCGTTTTGGGTCAGACAGCTAGTTTTCTTGAGGTTCAGAAAGCAACGTTAGGCAGTGGCGGCCGTGGCCCGCAGGCCCAGTCCGTCCCTCAGGGCCATGCTGTTTGGCTGTGGCGCAGGCGCCGTTTTGGGTCAGACAGCTAGTTTTCTTGTATAGGTTCAGAAAGCAACGTTAGGCAGTGGCGGCCGTGGCCCGCAGGCCCGGTCCGTCCCTCAGGGCCCTGCTGTTTGGCTGTGGCGCAGGCGCCGACAGCTAGTCCGCCGACCCCTGCCGCCAGCAGGGGGAGCGCGTCAGAGGAGGCCTTACTAGCAACAAGGGGCGCAAAGGAAACTTCGCAGGCCCGGTCCTCAGGGGGTGTGCTGTTTGGCTGTGGCGGAGGCGCCGTTTGAGGTCAGAGCGCCGTTTGAGGTCAGACAGCTAGTTTTCGTGTAGGTTCAGAAAGCAACGTTAGGCAGTGGGGGCCGTGGCCCGCAGGCCTCGTCCGTCCCTCAGGGCCCTGCTGTTTGGCTGTGGCGGAGGCGCCGTTTTAGAGCGACGTTAGGCAGTGGGGGCCGTGGCCCGCAGGCCCGGTCCGTCCTTCAGGGCCCTGTTGTTTCGCTGTGGCGAGGGCGACGTTTTTGAGCCCCGGGCCGTCCCTCAGGGCCCTGCTGTTTGGCTGTGGCGGAGGCGTCGTTTTAGGTCAGACAGCTAGTTTTCTTGTCGGTTCAGAAAGCGACGTTAGGTAGTGGGGGCCGTGGCCCGCAGGCCCGGTCCGTCCTGGCGAGGGCGCCGTTTTTGAGCCTTGGCGGGGCCGTCCCTCAGGGCCCTGCTGTTTGGCTGTGGCGGAGGCGCCGTTTTAGGTCAGACAGCTAGTTTTCTTGTCGGTTCAGAAAGCGACGTTAGGCAGTGGGGGCCGTGGCCCGCAGGCCCGGTCCGTCCCTCACGGCCCTGCTGTCTCGCTGTGGCGAGGGCGCCGTTTTTGAGCCTGGGCGGCTGGAAGACAGCTAGTTTTCTTGTGGGTTCAGAAAGCGACGTTAGGCAGTGGGGGCCGTGGCCCGCAGGCCCCGTCCGTCCCTCAGGGCCTTGGCTGTGGCGGAGGCGCCGTTTTAGGTCAGACAGCTAGTTTTCTTGTATATAGGTTCAGAAAGCAACGTTAGGCAGTGGTGGCCGTGGCCCGCAGGCCCGGTCCGTCCCTCAGGGCCCTGCTGTTTCGCTTCCTAGTTGCACTAAATGTACTAACCATTCATTATATTCCCATTATTTTTGCTGGTTGGATTCCATATGGCCCACCGACACTGCGTCGCGATGCCACCATACATCCGCTATGCTGACTTCGAGGCCAGGTTCGGTGTATAGAGACAGACACCCAAGATATAGAAATATGTGTTCTGCTTTTGGGAGGGCCTAATTGATATGGATTTGCAAGCAAAAATGCTAGAAAATAGGGGGGAGGGAGGGAGAGAGAGAGAGAGAGAGACAAATCTATAGATATCCGCCGACCCCTGCCACCAGCAGGGGGAGCGCGTCACAGGACGCCTTACTAGCAACAAGGGGCGAAAAGAGAAAATTCGCAGGCTCGGTCCTCAGGGCCCTGCTGTTTGGCTGTGGCGGAGGCGCCGTTTGAGGTCAGAGCGCCGTTTGAGGTCAGACAGCTAGTTTTCGTGTAGGTTCAGAAAGCAACGTTAGGCAGTGGGGGCCGTGGCCCGCAGGCCTCGTCCGTCCCTCAGGGCCCTGCTGTTTGGCTGTGGCGGAGGCGCCGTTTTAGAGCGACGTTAGGCAGTGGGGGCCGTGGCCCGCAGGCCCGGTCCGTCCTTCAGGGCCTTCCTGTTTCGGCTGCTTGGCCCGGAGCTTCTCTTGGTGCATCTCACTCCCCTCCGGTGTCCAGGGGTCGGCGGCAGAGGGCGTAGCCCTTTAATTACATTGCAGGGATTCCCACAATGGATGATGGTAATCCCATGTAATCCCCAAATATCCCCAATCTCTTGGGCAGAAAAGGGCCCCCTAAAAAAAACATCAACCAACAGTGGTTTAGCAGCCACTGCACGACTCTGCTCTATCCACCTCCATCGTCTGGAAAACACCTCCACCCAGGACCCACAATGAGATGCACCGTGACACCCTGTGGTCTGGACCTGGGACCTGGGTTTCGGACTCAAAGACGTCTCAGAGATCCAGCAGAAGACGGTCATCACCTGAGTACTCCAGATGAAGTTTGGATGAAAAAATGGGGGAATTCCAGAAATTCACAGCTCTTTCCAGACCGCATACCGTTGAGGCCGATCTCTGAATCCAAAGACCAGAAGTGGCTGCAACCCACACTCCATTCTTTCTAGACTGAACAGCCATCTGCGCCCAAGCGACGTTGCCAAAGAAGAAGAGCAAGGCCTGGATACAGGAAGAAAATCCACTCAACCAATGATGGAGACAACTTTTTCTCTTACATTCCTGTTGGCGAGATCCAGCATTTGGGTCTGTCTGAACATAGGGTACCCCAAAATTTGACGCTTGATCATCATTGTCCGAATTCAATCGCAATTTTATGGGGTTAATCCACCACTTCCAGACACACCCCGTGACATTATATCAAGTTGACTATATCCCGTGATATCTGCACCATATTTCTATTCTGGTTATAGGTCCTCATTTTTGTTGGTAAAACACGTCCGAAAGTAGAGGCAGCCGCAAAATTGAATCATCATGTTCCATCCCTTTTCCAGCATTCACCATATTCTATGGATTTCATAGAATCATGGTCCATAAATGTCCATAAATGTCCATAAATACATAGATTTTTCCATAAAATTCCATAAATACATAGATTTTTATATGTTTTTCCATGATTTTTATCTCCCCATTTTTTCCACAGCAAAAATTGCCCCGCGCACCAAGAGGATGGAGACTTTGGCGGCGCAGGCGGTGACCCAGGCGGCACAGTAGCTGGGCTCACCCTGGCGGATTTAGACATTTTGAGGGATCAATTCTGGAACAGTATGAAACACTAGATATTTGAGACTATGAAACACTAGATACTTGAGGATATTTGAGGATATTTGAGGATAATGAGGATAATGAGGTGGAACAGTATGAAACACTAGATATTTGAGGATAATGAGGGTCAAAACCTTGGCTATATCATGGCTATATCATGCATAGATCATAGATATTTGAGGATAGTGGGTCAAAACCAATAGTACCCCTTTTTTGTTCACATCAAAATAGCTGGGATTTATGGATGTGAATAACCCTCTAAAAATGGTATTAATAGGTATTGATTCATAGCCATTTGAGGATAATGAGGATACTTGAGGATAATGAGGATACTTGAGGAAATTCTGGCGGTTCAATTATACAATTTATGGTCGTTTCAAATAGAATATCCAGTTCTGGCGGTCAGTTTTCTCTAGCCGTTTGAAGTTGAATGTAAGAATATCGTGGTAAAACTTGGTAGTCCTTTGAACATGTTTGAATCAGGCGTTTTGTGGATCTGCCAGCTATGCTATGTGACTTAAAAACTGCAAAAACAGGCGAATCATGACACTCTGCATGGGACCCGATTCGTTGGGGGACTTTGAACCAGAACCAATGGATTGGCATTGAGACCCTGGCAGCTGCTGCTGGATGGAACGCCACCACACCAGGCACCTTGGCTGCTGTGAGCATTGAGTTCCATGCAGTTCCAGGATCCAAATGGCTCAACAACCCCAACAATCACCCAACACCAACCAATGAGATCATCAGTTTCACAACCATCCAACAAAATCCAAGACCACTCCCAGGCTCCCAACCCCCAAACTGAGATGTGGCACGAAGAGGTAGCCGAAATACAGCCACAAGTTCCAGAAGGTGGTCAAGACCCACAGCAAGGTGCCGAAGCCCACAATGTGAGAGAAGACGTTCACCCGTGTCCTGCCAGGGAAATTTCACCGAAAGCTGCTTGAGCTTCACGCTTGTCTGGAGACTATCTGGTGGAGTAATGATGTGCAAAAATACTTGTCACCTCGATCACGATCCCAAGTGGGGATTAAAGTTAGACGGAATTACCTGCAAGTCAGAGAGGTGGCTCAAACTTGACAGGGTTCTCTAACACATAGCTCCTCTCTTCAAAAGCAAAATTCAAAATATACTCCCATCAAACCTGCTAGTCAAAACCCAAACCCACCCGTGATTTCCCAGTCGAACCGTCGTTGGTGAAGTCCCTCATACAAACATCGAAATCATCAAAGTTTCTCGTGGCAATTGATAGAACCAACAGCATCCAACAGCCAACAATAACCACCACCAGTAGATCCAGTGGATCTGGGCATTCTGGGCATGGCTCAAGCGGCTCAAGGGAGCCACAGCCCCTCCTGGCTTCGCAGGCCAAGGCGTGTTGCAAGGTGCTGGCGTAGACTGAGGCGAGAGCCGTAGGGCCGTGGTGGTTGGAGGATTGGGGAAAGAAGCCACCAAAATCTTTGAGATACGGTGGATGGAAGAAATCCTGCACCAGTTAATAGGTGGTTTATCCCATTATTCATAGGGTTTTAACCATCCAAGGTGGTGCAGGATTTCTTCCATCCACAGTATATTTCAACTTGGGAGAAGTCATGCATTGATATGGGTTAATCACTATTCCATTTTCATTGTAACATTCATTTAGAGGTATTGTGTTGTAAAAGGCAGTCGAAGGCAGTTTGATTTGGATAGAAACGGCAATTTGGGGATACAATCAAAAACATGGGTAGATAGAACCAATCAATTGGGACAGAACTGGTTGCTTCCCAAAAAGACATGCTGCAAAACATAGCAACCATCAAGCTTGAGTTGCTGCTAGCTTGCACAGCCACAGCAAAAGCATGTGCTTTCGACAACTTTGGACTGCAATCTGATCTACGTGCTTGTTGATCTTGTTGCAGGCACAAACAAGTCCAAAAAACAACAGCTTTGTTAAATCTTGTTACCCTCTGGTAATTTAACGTAGCTATTGAAAATCACCATTTATAGTGGATTTTCCCATTGAAAATGGTGATTTTCCATAGTTATGTTAGTTTACCAGAGGGTAATCTTCTTCTTGGGATGTTCCCCCATCAACCAATGCATGGCTCCAGCTGCACCGCCCCTGGGTCCCCTGGGTGCTGCCGACAGATGAAGAGTTCCTTCAACTCCTCGAGGCCTGTGTTGCTGGGCTGCGCTGTGGCCTGGCACTGATGCTGGAAGTTGCTGCGAGGGAAAGGTCGTTGGAGGCTTTGCCCCATATGTTGAGGTGATTGTAAAATTGTAATGATACTTGGTTTGATAAAGCCATACAAAGCCTATATCCATCTATATCCTTAATCGAAACTAATTTGATGATTTGGAATTAATCATGTCAACAAATTCCGCAGAAATTTCAGTTCCAGTCGGATGAAACATGGTTATCCGATGTTATCCGCAGCTGCCTCCGCCAATTTCACCTTCATCTCATCGTTCTTGCGCCGAATCTCCGCCTGGTTATGTGTCGATGATGATGACATTTGGCAGTGGGATGAACCCAGGATTCCAGGAGGTTTTCATAGTCATCTTGATGTGTCACAATGGCCAATTCCTCCCAATTCTAATGCGGTTTTTTTTTCATGATCAACTAATCAACTAATCAACTAATCTGGATTTTGGAGTACCTATTTTGGGAGAAACTCAGATCATCTCATACCTGCTGAGATGATAAACACCTGGGTGACCAAAAGGATTCCCGTGCGCTGCCCGCAGCACCTTGGCGTACATGCACTGGGCCACCTGTGTGCAATTGGTTAAGAATTGGATTTGGGTCGCGTTCCCAGGAATGAGCAGTTGGAAATGTTGAACTTGCCCTATATCCATCTTTCCCATATCTGTTGGAATGAGCAGTTAGTCTATATCCAATATCTGTTCTTTTCCCATCTTTTCCCACTCCTACCATGATTTGCTGGTCATTTGCAATCAGTTTACGTCCAAATCTACAAACTCTACAGGTGGATGGATCAAGAAATCCATAGAAATCCTATTCCCCCAGCAGGATGATGTCATGGAAAAAACCCTGCAGGAAACCCATCGTTTAGCCATGGGAAAAAATTCATGGCCTGCAGCAGTCGCGCCAAGGCCACTAAGCCGGCGATGACGCCCACGGAGCGAGCCCAAAGCCTCCATGGCGGCTTTGAGAACTTCAGTCAAATTGGGAAAACATCGTGACTTATAAATATGTATATATATATAATTATATAATATATAATATTATATATATATATATCATATCATATAAACTTTTGTAAAGTTATAGATAAGTTTCCATGAAGTTAGATTACATGATCTTCCCACCTTGGGAGGCATCATCACAACTTGAGACTCCGGTTGACATAGCGAAACACTCAGATCATGTGGTTGGTATCAGGATCAGCCAGGGCAACAAATGGCATTTCTATACTTGCAGGAGAGGTAGGTTGTACACCTGGAATTGATCATCGTGTTTCTAATCTAAGGCTTCATTTCGGGCATCAACTTAAATGTTTCCAGCCTGTTGGGTTTAGAAACTCTTCGAAGACAAGGATTTCACCCCCATCCTGAAGCCCCAATTGGCATGTGGTGCCAACCTCAAGCCAGGGATGGAGGCACATGGATGATCTTGATCTGCATACCTGGCCGCATAGCATGGGACCATGGGACGCCTCGAGAAACCGACCGCTTCGAGAAACATGCCGCAGCGTACTCGGAGTAGCCCGCAACGCACAAGACGGGAATCAGCACCAGCACGACTTGAAGCAAATGACCTGCTGGCAACATACCCTCTGGTAATTTAACATAGCTATTGAAAATGGCCACCTTTATAGTGGGTTTTCCCATTAAAAATGGTGATTTTCCATAGTTATGTTAGTTTACCAGAGGGTAGGCACTTGGTCAAAGATGTGGATTTCCCAAGAAATGATGGATGTATTCGCCAGAGGTCCGATGAAGAACCCGGGGCTGCGACAGACTATTTTGAAGTTGAGGTTGACCTCAGAAAAAAGAAGCTTGAAACCAACGAAGCCTTTCTTCCATTGACCAAAAAGAGAGACTTGTCTGCTTGCTCCTAGTGGAAGAAACTGTTGTTGAGAATGAACGCATCCGTGTATTGTGAATGCCAATCCAGAATAGTTCCTGCTTTGTGAAACACTCATCATGCTTCACTGCGTTTCATGTGCCATTCACCTGCTTTTGCTCGTTGCCTGTGATTCTATCACGCCTGAAGCACATCGCTGGATAGACATACATCACACAACGGTGTCTTAAAATGGGTAGCGGATGACTTCCAGTTCCAACCCATCCTCAAAATATTAATCATTAAGGGTATCATCATCCCAATCATGATCGAAAGCAAAGCCTGTTTCAAACTACCAACAAAATAGCCCTGGATTTCCCATGTCAAATGAATTTCGCGACCCACTAAGGTCCTTACTGGCACCAGCAGACCCGCCAACAACACCGAAATAGGCGGCATGTTGGCGGACAGGGCTGCGTCCTTGGGACCCGTCATTACAACGTCGTCGTGGCAGTGGTGAATGGGGGTCAAAATTCAATTTCACTTCTAGGTGTAGTCAATAACCTACCAAGGGAAATTCGGGTGAAAGTGCTGCATCTTGGCGGCCCCGACTTCATCTAAGAGCACCATGAACTCCTCGCACCAGGATGACCACACAGTGGTTCAGGCCACACTTGAACCCTTCATCGTAGGCATAGAGTGCACGATACAAAGTGCTTTAATGATGTTTGGCATGCAGAATTCCTGTATGCCTTTGAATGTGTTCTCCAAGCATGCAGATTCATATTCTTCACACAAACAGCATCAACAAAGTGGATAGGAGGCAACTTTGACCTCAAACATTCGACCTGCAGTTGGCATTTTTTTGTGGTGGTTTCCCCACCACCAAGGACTCCTCGAGCTGGAGGGACTGGGCTACAGATCCAACAGTGTCCGTCAACTCGGTCATGACCAAGGCCTGCCATCGAGTCAGGGCATTGTCGCAGCTTCAAAGACGTCACCAAGCAAGAAATTGCAAAGCAAACTGAAACCTGAGCAAACTGGTTCCAAGTTGATGCTTATGAATAAGGGGGTTCACCCACATTCCATGTTTCTTGGCTGGTCATTCCAATTATTAAGTGGTTCATCCTACTTAGTAAGTGACTTTAACCCCAGGAAAAAGTGCATATTTCCATGTTTCTTGGCTGGTGATAGGGATTAACCATGATTAAGCCTATACTTATCCTAACCTTCTCCCATTTTGTTCGCTGGCACCTTGGCTTTGGTGGTCAGGGAACTCACCTTGTCGCTCAGGATGCTGGCTACCTGGCCATTGCAGAGGCTTTTGGATCCAAATTCCCAAGCCATCTAACGAGTTCAATACGTACACCATAAATCCAGCAGTTTTTGTAGCTATGAAAAACTAACTAATCGTGTTTGTTGGGTATAGCCACAAAATCAACACTTATTTTAGCTACAAACCAACTTAACTAGTTTAAATCAAGTATAAATCCACATGTTTGTTGGTTGAACTTCCATTTTCCTTCATTTTCTATTGGTAAATCATGGTAAATCCTCCATTCTCCGATCGGTTTTTGGTCCCGAGACTGCGCCTGGACTCCCTTGGCGACCTTGGGTGCCATGCTTTGAGCTCCACGCTGCAGCAGCTTCCGCACCAAGTCCTGCCCAGCAGGTGTTTTTTGATGACGTGAATAACGACAGATTATAAACATTCTGTAGGAAATACTATAGTAAATGTAGAGAAGTATAGTATCTATACTGTCCAATTGATATTTTATATATATACCCACACATATTTTCTAAACATGTATCCAAAGAAATACCTGATTAAGCATATTTAGAATTCAACTCATCTTTCGAATAGTATCATTCCGCGTCATTATGAACATGATATAATTCCTCCAACATTCTGATACACTATGGCAATAATTCGACGATCATCCTACTCACCGTCGTGATAGCGATCATCGAAGCAGCAGTTACCCTCTTGGCTCCTCGTACTCTTCGAGTGCAGGTCCCAGGTTTTTGGGTTCCTGCTGAAAAATTCATGGTGAGCCACGAACTGGGCACCAAGACATTGGGCAAATAAACCTATGGGTTCTGTCTGAAACTCGTGTTCTTTCCAAATTTCATGGGTGAATCACCATGTTTCCTAGCAAAACTGCCATAACTTGGGGGGTACAATCCATTTTAAGACACGCCCAAATATCATCAAATGTCATACTACTGGTTATTATCCAATTATTTCTCCATAAATGACCAGCGATAAGTTGCAAAATATATATATATAATCCTGAAATTACCAAGCATTTAAGATACAATTGTCCATACATGACCAACCATTTGCAGTATATACTACCCTCTGGTAATTTAACGTAACTATGGAAAGATCCACCATGTTTAATGGGAAAACTCACTATAAATGGCCATTTTCAATAGCTATTTTGACATAACCAGAGGGTATCCCATTTATGGCTCCACTTCTTATTGGTTGGCTACAAAAAATCCCGATCAAGTCCAGCCATGTCCAGCCCGGAGCCTCGGCGACTGCTTCCTGAGACGATCGGCACAAAAGCTTGCGCACCCATTGGAAAAATTGCAGTTTCAATGGGAAAACCAATGGGAAAACAATGGGAAAACAATGGGAAAACATGATGATAATGCAGAAACCCATTGGATGATAATATGGACACCTCTATTTTTTGTGATCTTCACATCAAATTCACATTTACCCTCTGGTAAACTAACATAGCTATGGAAAATCACCATTTTTAATGGGAAAATCCACTATTAATGGCCAGTTTCAATAGCTATTTTGACATAACCAGAGGGTATCAACTTTTTCTTTGTACTTGGCATGGACCTGCAGTGGCCGTTGGGCCCAGGAGATGGTAGAGCATTTGGAAAAACTTTTGACTACGATGCATTGGTCAATTCCAACGGCTGAGATGCTTCCCAAACTGTTCCCTCATGGCAGTGTGTCAAAACCAATAGTACCCCTGTAGTTCACATCAAAATAGCTGGGATTTATGGATGTTCATCCCATTAAAATGGTATTTTCATAGGTATTGATCCATACCCACATGTTCCCAGCAAGTCTTTTCAAAAGGCTGGGATGCCCTCACCGGCTCTGGAGCTGGCTCAGAGATTTCGGCCGTCTCAAGGCCCTCCTTCATCTCTTTCCTCACAATGCGGTGATAGACTTCAACAGATTTATGCCAAAATGACCCATTCAGAGAGGTTCATATTTGGGAAGCACAGGTATCATGGCTAGACTTGCACAACCCACAGAAAGAAGATATTTGTAGACTTGTATCATCGATTTTCAAATGGCCAAAAATTGACACATGGACTCACCAAATCAAGGTTTATGCCCAAGAATGAACATTTCACCAATAGTCGTTTGAACGAAACAAGAACGAAACCGACCCCGAGACCCCCGACACTTCGGAGGTTGGTGTAGAGGTGTAGAAGAAAATCAGGGAGGCCACTAGGGCGATGCCACCTGGAGAAGCGGTGCCATTGAATTGAAATGAAAACACACACACACAAATAGGGCTATCCCAACTGGTTGGTGGTTAATAATGGTTAACTAACTGGTTAATAATGGTTAATAATGGTTAATTCTTATCACTATGGTGCCATTGTGGATGGTTTAATCGCTCTATCATTCCTGTTTGGTCGAAGCAAATCTCCGAGCAGGAAAATGTGAATTCAAGTTGAAGTGTCAGGGAAGTGAGAGGATGTTTCCGTTGTGGTTTCTGAGACAAAACTACATCACTCATTGAAAAGGTCTAGCCGAGTCTAGCCCTGTGTGTGTGTGTATAAACTCGATGATCCTTTGAACAATGAGTCCGTAGCAAAAAAGTGATCGGGTGATCTCCCAACGAAGCAGCTGCATCCCAAATCTGGCATCCAAAAGTGTCGCCCCCTTTCTCTCACTGTTCCCCATCGAGCCACACATCACCGCGCAGACATAGAGCTGGACGCGCAAGGTGGGCGATGCCTGCGGCCAAAAAGGTGCGGCCAGCTGCTTTTGCTGGGTCCAAACATGGGTAAAGTACATGTTGTTGACCAAATATAATTATTGTATATATAGGCTCGTCCCACCTCCTGGAACTACATACGATGGGGTGGGGGGGGGGGTGGGATGTTAACGTTCATGTGAACTTGCAGAAGCAGTTGATGCTACGCACACGGGGGTGGGGGGGGGGGGTGATGGGGTGGGATGTTAACGTTCATGTGAACTTGCAGAAGCAGTTGATGCTACGCACACGCGGGGTGGGGGGGGGATGGGGTGGGATGTTAACGTTCATGTGAACTTGCAGATGATGATGATATAATGCTGCTGATGATGATGATGATGATGATGATGATGGATGATATGGATGATATGATGATATGGATGCTATGGATGATATGATGGATATGGATGATATGGATGATATGGATGATATGGATATGATATATGGATGGATGATATATATGATATGGATGATATGGATGATATGGATGATATGGATGATATGGATGAAGTGGATGAAGTGGACGATGTGGACGATGTGGACGATGTGGACGATGTGGACGATGTGGACGATGTGGATGATGTGGATGATGTGGATGATGTGATGATGATGATGATGATGATGATGATGATGATGATGATGACCCTAATGAAACTTGTCAATTCCGGGGCAAAATTTCGTCCCGGAATTGACAAGTTTTACCAACCTAATTCGGGGTGTGCGCAGTTCCAGAAGCGCGGACGAGGCTATATATACTTACTGTATATATGTATACTGTGTGTATATATATAACGAAAAATAGATATGAAATGGATGAAACGTACGGGTTCAAAGGGATTTGCCATTTTCGTTTTCGGCATGTGGGGAGTCGCACCAAGCAACAAACAGCCATGGATGACCATCCCAGCCGGACAACAACTTGACGGCACCGGCGCACCTCCCAGCGAGGGGTGGCTACCTCCACCTATCAAGTGGAACATCCATCATCTGTGGATAGTTTTGTAGCTGAAATGATTTGCTGTGGCCGTTTTGTCAGCTCTTGCGGCGCGAACTGCTCGCAATTTCTAGAAAATGAGATTTTGCGTGAAAGAAATTGGCATCTACCATATGTGTTTGCGTAAAATAATGTAAAATATCTATGCCAAGCTGCTTCGCATCGATTTTCATCAACCCCTGAAGCCTTGGTGATCCTGGCCCCGATCCAGCTTGGTCCAGCGGTATCCAGCGCTCCAGCCTTGCGGAGGAACTGCTCTTGTCCCATCTCCAAGGCCACCTAGGTTTGAGTCAGGGAGCACCAGTTGGTGACTCGAGTTACCCTCTGGTAAACGTTTACGTAACTATGGAAAGATCCACCATGCTATTAATGGGAAAACTCACTATTTCAATGGCCATTTTCAATAGCTATGTTAAATTACCAGAGGGTACCAATATTCAACTCATTCAATTCATTGAATTCATTCAATCATCATCAACCTATCCCAAGTGTCCGAATCCACCAATCAGCCAAGCACAGCTCGGAGCCCCCCACACAGCTGGTCAACAGAAGGAAGTGAAGCAGGGCCATGGCGTCCTCAGCAAAATTCCACCGGAGTTCACGGCCAAATCTACTCTTGGCGGCTTCAGCAGGTAAGTATACCCTCTGGTGAACTAACATAGCTATTGAAAATGGCCATTTATAGTGAGTTTTCCCATTAAAAATGGTGATTTTCCATAGTTACGTTAGTTTACCAGAGGGTAAGCAAGTCATCTTCAAGTGTCACGAGAAAACGACTGTTTACTTTCACGAAGAAGAAACACTCCTTTAGATATCAACCATGGGTGTGCTGCAGCGCTAGAAAGTCTTCACCAGGTGGTAGGGTGGTGCATCTTGGTCCGCCCTGAGGCTTCCACCAGGGGGAAAACGCTCCGCTTCCCTCTTGTTGTGCCGGTGTCGGCACTGGACTACAATTGAACTGAGATACTGCGAGCCGCAGCGGCTGCGGAGACTCACAGATTCGTAGATTGGCAGAATCCTCTGTCAATGGCGAGGTGACCACGAAGTGCTGGTGAGCCAAGTGCTGCTGATGTGCTCACCATCACATGCTGACCATCAGGAAGTCACCCCGGTTTTGAAAGGGATATTCCTAAAGAAAACAACATTTGATGGTTCTGTCCTCAGGCCTTGAGGTATCCCAGATCATTCTTGAGCCTCTGCCAGAGATCTAAACAGAAAATGGATCAACTCACCTGTCTGCAGAAGAATGGCTGGAACAATGACTTTCCAATAGCTCACCTTCATCCGTCACCATAGTCACCTGTAGTTTACTGTCAAAGTTTGGTAACCCCAGATGTGTCCCAGAATACATCCCCACATAATGCCACAACAAGCCATGCATCATCTCCCATGGGCTTCAGCCACACCAATCGGTTTTTTTTCGGCCGGATTGGTTTCGCCTGGCTGGAGCCGTGGGAGTTTCCATGATTTTCAGGTGACAGGCAAAGAAACCAGCAGGCAGCAGTTGCAGTTGCGGCGCAGCCTGTTTTTAAACGAGAGCGGTTTGGAACCAACGAGAGCATTGTCATCTTGTCCTTCCTCCATCTCATGCAGTCAATTTTGATGCGACACAATGCCGATCCGATCTGTGTTGAAAATCGTTGTGGAGTTGTGGATGATAGGATATTTATTGTGGCATATTGTGACGACAGCTGTCCATAGACCATGGGTCTCATGGATCTCAGTGAGTTGGAGGCTGTATCGGACTGTCACACCAGGAGGTCACGGCTTAAATCTGGGAAAACAGAGCCGTGGCGAAATCGCTGACTCGGGAGGCGATTCGCAGTCTTCAATTCTTGTCCGAGCCACGTTCAAAAACTCACAGTCCGACAGAGGACCAGCCTGGGCCACTGGGGTCATGGGGATGGTAACACGAAAGTGGAGATTCTCGGTCCATGAAACACTTGTGCTTTGTGGAACTCACCAGGGACTAGTCACACTGGGAGATTCTCCGAGAACAATTTCTGAACGATGGCTTGAAACATCGCGACTTTCACCCTTCGACAACGTAGATGGAAACTCCCCATCCCCAATCCAGCACTGGTGAGTTCTTTACGGTGCTACCGTTTGCTCCAGTGGATCCAAGTTTCAAACGAAAATGAAAAAAACTTGGGACTATTGAATATCGAGAAGGGACGACAAAACCTTTGAACTACCCTCTGGTGAACTAACATAGCAATGGAAAATGGCCATTTATAGTGGATTTTCCCATTAAACATGGTGATTTTCCATTGCTATGTTAGTTCACCAGAGGGTAGATCATATTGACGAGCCGCTCTTCTTGATGAAGTCTTGTGCGATCAAGGTGAGCATTGCGTGGGGTGCGATGCGCACGTAGTAGGTGGGGAAGCCGGCGTAGAAACGCAAAGGACCACCTGTGGCATGGAGACGGGGAAGCGAAATAAACTCAGGGCCAGATGGTTGTTTTGCTTCCAAGGGAGCTGTGGTTTGGTGGTATGATGCCGTCAATCCTTCGGGCAGCTGCCATCTCACACGTTTTAATCTTCAAATTGAGTCAAAATCACTAATCCTATAATATCCTATATACAATCTGAAAAGTATTCCCTCCAAACGCCCCATTCGATTCTATCAAATAACATATATGGGTATGGATCAATACCTATTAATACCATTTTTAGGGGAATGAACATCCATTTACCAGCTATTTTGATGTTCACCAGGGGTACAAGGTTTTGACACACTGCCATATGGCTTTGTCTGAAAATAGTGTACTCATTTTCCCAACATTCTCCTTGACCAACCTTTCTCCTAGAAGCCAGCCTTCAGCCATGATCTTCATCGCACAATCCATGGAACCTGAGCAAAATGCCATGGTCGCAATGGTCAGCCTATGGATTTGTCCCTCACTATACCCTCTAGTGAACTAACATAGCTATGGAAAATCACCATTTTTAATGGGAAAACTCACTATAACTGGCCATTTTCAATAGCTATGTTAAATTACCAGAGGGTATGGCAATTTCCATGAGAAAGCTGTGATTGGAACCAGTGGATAACTTGTGGGTACCCGATTTTCCGTTAAGGTCCTGACACTGCCCTGACAACCAGATAATAACTTTGCCTGAGCCTTCCGCAAAATTTGGCTATACATTCCAATATGACAACCGATAGATAAGTCATCATAATCGTCCGTGTGCATTTAGGGTTTCTGAGTAGTTAAAAAAAACAACTTGGGCCGCCAATTTTGTTCCCCTTTGACCTCATCTCACACCAAGCAACTCTTGTAGGGAAGCTCACCTGTGACGCAGAGCTTTGTGCCACAAAGGGTGTAGCTATTCTCACAGATCATTCTCACAGATGACACCAGAACATCGGCGTGAGCATTTCTTGGGACTGAAACCACTGCAGTTGCCCAAAGCAATAAGTGCCAACCACTGAAAAACTGCAGTTTTCAGTTATCTCAACTGTCAGCGACCGCCTGTGACGGGATCTTTCTTCTGCTTCTGCATCTGCGTCTTCACAAAGTCAAAGGGCAAGGAGAAGAAGGACGCGAAGAAACCGGCCTCGGCTGGGCGAAACTTCCTGAAAAATGACTCCCTCTGCTCAACACAGCGGAAATTCCACCATTTATCCATCGGATTTTCGTTTTCATCTTTTTCATCCAACTTCTCGGACCCTTCTTCTGTTGGAAAAATGTGATCTTTTCAATCAACAGATGGGTTTGTCTGAAAATAGTGTACCCCTACAATGGTTAATGATCATTATCCCTATTAAATGGCTATAATTGGGGGTATACCCCATTTTCAGACATACCCAGATGTTTTTTTTTTTTTCCCATGGTTTCCCAGCTGAGCTGAGCCACAATGGCAGAGGCTCCAAAGACCTGTGGCGCTCCGGAGACGCCCATGTTGCCCAGCGCGTCCTGGCGACGTTGAAGAGTTGAGGGATTTGGAACATTTACAATTTATAAAATCATATACATATAATATATATATATATATATATATGTATACAATATAGATAGATATACATATATATATATACAATATAGATATACATATTATACATAATCTATATATATATGATATATGTGTATAATCATTTGAAAATCCCAAAATCATTCAACAAATGAGACCCAAAGATGATTGAAGATATTCACGCGGCTTCTCTGATTTCGCAAAGAGTTGTGTTGGCCTTTTGTGTGATCTTAAAACCAAACAAAACGCTTCCACGGTTCGAAGGTGGGAGTACCTCCCAAATTGCATGAGATCTTAAGACTACGAGACTCATTCAGGCTCGGAAAATTCACATCGGCTGGTTCAAAGACAGTTCTTTGATGATCAAGCCCCAATTTTGACTGGCCAAAGCCCAATTCTTGGCTGGCTAAATCTCCATGTTACAACGAAAATTCAAAGGATCCAATAGAATTCGTACATATTTGATGGTCAACTCACCATTTTTTCCATGTGAGCCATTAAAAATACCCCGTTTTCCCATCTCATTATACTAGTTGGTATTTTTAATGGCTTCCCTACTATGGCTTATCATAATCCCCAGTAAACCAGGTAGTATCATCCCCTATAGCAATCAATTCACCAGGGTATTTTTCCATGGTTTTTGTCGCCTTCGCACTGGCATTGAAAGCCAACATCCCGAAGTTCAAGGCCATAGCACGAGTTGCGGTAGGTGCAGCACCGGCCATCAAGCCACCTGCCTTGAGAAATGGCAGCATCAATGGATAATTCAACAGGAAATCGTTGGTTTATGTCACTTTATACAACCTTTTTTTGGGGAGTGCAGGGGATCACAGGGGGGTTCCTTGTATTTCTGCCCATCATTCAACTTAGGGTGTTCCAATGGGAGATAAAGCGACAAAAACAAAGGTTGATAACCAATGTAAAGGGGATATGATGAGGATTTTTGTTGGGACATGTTGCCAACTTGATATGATTTTTTTGGTGTGTGTCTGAAAATTGGAGTGTTGAAACATCCCAATCTATCTGGGTAAATTATAATAATTCACTAACCTGAATGGTTCGGCCATTTGGGGATGATTCCCCTAACACTAACTATGATTCCAGGGCTCGGTCGCAGTGAGGTCGTGATCAAATTTACCCAGAATATCCATTAACATTCATTATCTTCCATAATCTACCCATAATTACCCAGTAATTAGACATTATATCCCTTATAATTTACCCAGAATCTATGTCAATTGGACTCGGGGGTCCCATATTCAGATGAAAGTCATTGACCCTGAATGAGGCGACCTATTGCTAAGAAATGGCTAATCCTCTGGATATGTGGCCCAACAATAGGGAAAACCATAGGAAAATGGAGGTTTTAATGGGAAAACCATAGGAAAACCATAGGAAAATGGAGGTTTTAATGGGAAAACCATAGGAAAACCATAGGAAAATGGAGGTTTACCCTCTGGTAATTTAACATAGCCATGGAAAATCAGCTTTTTTAATGGGAAAACTCACTATTCAATAGCTATGTTAAATTACCAGAGGGTATGTGGCCCAACAATGGTTGGCAGGATACTCTGTTTCTCTTTTTGTCGCCAAACGATCCATTACGATTCACCTACCATCAGTCACTTAACTCAGTTATATATTAGTTTCATCAGATTGGATTTCCAGGTGGTCGCTTCAGCATCCGATGGAGGCACTCCCTCATTGGCCACGATCTTTCCCATGGTGGTGAAGACGTTGGTGTATCCGGCTCTCCTCAGCAGCCGGACCATGCAATTTGCTGCCGCCCTACGTGCTTATTCAGAGTTGGGTTCAAGAGATGTCAAGACACTCACTTTCGCATGCATCAACTTGACATCCAGAATCAGGAAACACCAAACTGAGGTTGATTTCTCTTCAACATTCATTGCAGCGATGCAAAATCTTACCACGATTTTAGCTGCATCAACCGACTAGCATGGTAAACTTCGGGCTCAAACTGCTCCCCCAAATTGCCATGGCTCTCCGCTGCAGGCTTCATGCTGTCCGCCTCGCCAGGGTTGGACGACCAAATGCTGAGCTTCCAGGAAAACAGGTCAATCGCTGGAAATTTGAAGGTAAATAACTGGAAACCCATGGCTTTTCAATCAGCCAGAAACAACATGGGTCATTAAATGTCACCATTGAACATCACCCAACCATGATCGGTATATGGTCTACTAGATGGCTACTATTTTTGGTGATGTCCAATATTCCCAAAATGGGACATTTAATGACCCATGAACAAGGTGTTCCTAAAATCAACCGCCTTTCGAGCAAAGTTTGAGAGTGAAAGCAATCTGCTAACGGCAACCTCTCCTTTTGTTGAGCTGGTCCTTGAAAAGACGAAACCGTGGGCGCCAACTAACAACCAGTTTCGCTGCTGAAACTTCGACCTACAGTCATATTGACAAAGTGAGGAGACAACCAATAATCACATGGGAATAGATTCAACAATAGTTGGCCTTTCACAGCTTGTCCCGAATCATTCTTGGTCATATCCTGTTTGTTCTGTCAATACCGCCATATTTTTTGGTAGGCCACACCAGTTCTATTCCCATCTCTCTAATATAGCTTATATAAGTTATCTAAAAATTCTGTGTTTTTTGGTCGAACTCCCGGTTCTTGTTGGTTGGATCCTTCTTTCTTGTTGGCGAAATCCTAACTTGTTGCTGCTTCCATCTTGGTTTCATCTCCATCTTTGCTTTTTTCAACCAACCTTCTGTTGGTTAAAATTCAAGTTTTTGCTGGTTTCACCATGTTTCACCATGTTTCACAATGTTTCACCATGTTTCACCATGTTTCACCATGTTTCACCTCCATATTAGTGATTGTGACATCTCCCTTCAATCTCCATTTTTGCGAGTTTTTGGCTCCCAACAACCTATCCAACCTATCCAACCTATCCACCGTCCCCGGGTCGTCACCTGCATCCGGATGAGCGCCAGATCCGCGGGGTTGCCGATCAACGCGGCGAGGCCACCGGCGCTCAAGGCGCAACCGGCGTTCTCCAAGAAGGACATCTGTTTCCCCGGAGTCTTCACCTTGGAAGGTAGGATCAATGGATTGGTTTAAGGGAAAATCTACAGGAACCATGGTTTTTACCATCAAATATAGGGGTTTCCTGTAAATTTTCCCATCATCCAATTCTATGAAAAGAAGTAGGAAACGTAGGAAAGGTAGCCCCTGGTTATGACTAACATAGCTATTAAAAATGGCCATTTATAGTGGATTTACCCATTAAAAATGGTGATTTTCCATAGTTATGTTAGTGACTAACATAGCCATGGTATAGATGGCCCATAGAAATAGATGGTTTACCTAGCTATAAAATGGTGATTTTCCATAGTTATGTTAGTTTACCAGATGGTACCAGGAAAAATGAGGAAAAAATGGAGATGTAACCAGCAGTAAGGATCTTTCATCGAACAATTGAAAGCTTCACTCTGGGAATTGACCCAAAAAGCGGGATTTCAGAAAAAAACTCTGCAGGTTGCCTCATTGATCACAGGCTTGCAATCCTACTTGCCATTTACACAGGTCCCCAGCAACACAGTTCCCTATGCACGATGGGATGATCATTCCTATCCACTGGTCCCGTGGCTTAACCCAAGATCTATCTTGACAAGATAACCATGAGAACCCCTATTACCTATCCAAATCATGACAGGGATCATTACACACAATCATTATAGTACAACTTTTGGGATATGTACTTGTATGATAATCGCTTTATAACAGTGGATAGTTTAGTTTATCTTTTTCACCATTAGGAATACTACCGTGTTCTTTTGGTTCGGCTTCTAGCAGTCAATAGTAATCATCGATTCATTAAAAAGTACTGATAGTAAAGTAATTATAAACCACCAATGGTTTATAGTACCCATTTATGGTAAAATTGGGGATGGACAAATTCTATCATATATCATTATTATATCATAGATATCATTATATCATATTTTATATCATTTTACTATATCTTTTCGAACATCAATCTGGGTAAATTATAATATTTCACTAACCTGAATTAAGGCCATTTTGGGATGATTTCCCTTATTAACCATGATTCCAGTGAGGTCGCAGTGAGGTCGTTATAATTTACCCATATCAATATCATTATAGCCAACCAACCACCACCCATGATCCGCACCAGGCGGCCATGCCCGTGAACTTGTCGAAGAGCCCCAAACGCGCTCCGGTGTAGACCACCTGACGCGTGAGCCCCGCGGTCAGCCCCGTGTAGAACGCCGTCACGCCCTCGTTCTTCAACATGTTGGAAGCAATGGTCCTTGGAGATGATGGGGTTTGCCACCATCTTTCTTGGGTAATAAAAATACCCAATTCTTAGCTGATATAATATGGGAACATTTAGCGACCAAATGTAAGGTTCATGGGCTTTTATAACCAATGAAATTGAGAATCAAAGCCAACCTTTGAAAGCAGATGGGTGGAAGCCCCAAGAAAACACAGGAATATGACCGACTGATCAACAATAGTGGGATTCAAGCAACAACCATGGGCTTAAGGCTTAAATAATGTACAATTACATGATGGTTTAAGCAACACACATGGGGTCTTCAGAAGAATGGCTAGGAGTCTAAATTTTAGGCCCAGGGCAAAACAGATCCAACACATAATGAACACACCAAGATGTCGTGGAAGTGAAGAAGTTGGGGGGACGCTTGGAATCGGCTGGATAGGGTAAGCCTCATATTAGCTCTTCTGCTACATTGATCAAACCAGAAATCCTCCGATGAAACGGATCTCTAAGTCGAAGGCAACCCAAGTCTATCCACTTTGCCTCATTTTCATTGGCAGGAACCGCAATTTGCGACTGCTTTTAGTACCTGGAGCTTTCATCACCAAGTACTGATTCCAGTCCATACCCCATTGATATATCTCCATCATCAATGATAGATGATTTCATCCCATAAATATTGCTCATGCAGGAGCATCGCTGCATTTCTATGGTCGAACATCAAAAACATAATTGACACCATCCAATCAAATCATCATTGGTTATACAGCCATTACATCCATCCCTATTTTAGCTGGTAAAACACTCATTTTTGATGGTGAGCCCTGTCATTTTTTTGGTGCGTTCCCGTTCAGCGTCAAAGGCCCTGCGGCTTCAGCTGTACCGGCGGTCAACTGGATCCTTACCTTCACCTTGGGGAGATAATGGGGGCTTTTCTGAAAATTCATGGGGTATAACAGGGGTATAATGTGGGTATAATAGGGGTATAACAGGGGTATAATAGGGGTATAATAGGGGTATAATAGGGGTATAATAGGGGTATAATAGGGGTATAATAGGGGTATAATGGGGGTATAATGGGGATTTCTGCTACAAGAATTCACCTATCTCAAATAATGCAATCTTGGGACGGTTAAATCAGTTACCCCTATTGGCTGGCCATCATTTGCAGCGACGTCGCATTGAGGCTGTTATAGGGTGAGGGGCCTTCCAAAAAATGAGTCATTGAAACCACCAACCGGATTTTGGGATCTTCAAATGCCTGGTGATTTGCGGATTTGAATCCACTCAAGCGCGGGGGAACTTGGAGTATCCTTAAACATGTCCTTCCAAAATATGGCTAGTTTTTTGGGAGGGGCAGTGGAGAGAGGAAAATAGCGGAAGAGAGAAAGAAAGAATGAAAGAAAGAAAGGAAGAAAGAAAGAAAGAAAGACAGAAAGACAGAAAGAATGGAAGAAAGAAAGAAAAAAGAGAAAAAAAAGAAAGACAGAAAGAAAGAAAGAAAGAATGGAAGAAAGAAAGAAAAAAAAGAAAGACAGAAAGACAGAAAGACAGAAAGAAACAAATAAAGAAAGAAAGAAAGAAAGACGCAAGACTGAAAGACTGAAAGACAGAAAGACAAAAAGAAAGAAAGACAGAAAGAAACAGAAAAACAGACAGCCAGACAGCCAGACAGAAAGAAAGACAGAAAGAAACATAAAGAAAGAAAGACTGACAGACAAACAGAAAGAGAGAGAGAGAGAGCGAAAATCAGGGTGTTATGATTTATTTAGATCTGCCGGCTGCAATTTTGACCCCTTAGAAAAAGAGGGGTTCTGTGCAGGCATGTGACAGACATAGCCTAGCAAATTCTACGTTCCGAACGGCAGTTGTTGTCCAGTACAGTAGCAATGAAACAACGTGAAGACAGAGTTGTGTTTTATAGACCCTAGAAATGGGGGGTTCTTTCCAGATATTGGTCCTGTCTGTTCCTTTTCTCTCCCAGATTGGGATGTTTATCTTCATCAGAGAAATTGGTCATGGTTTCTAGTTTTTTTTCCGAAATAGGCTTAAATGTCATAGCCAGTTGATTAATCCCCATCATCTCCCCATCATATCCCTAAATCTACCAAAAAAAATCCCCATCTGCCAGCTGCCACACGCGGAAATTTTCGGTGCCCCACCATGTCGATGGGTTGGATGCAACCTGAGTTTTAGCTTGGCTCCTTTTAGGAGCCAATGGGATTTCAACATGGTAGTATCAAACCTGGGGATTCCCTGGCTGAATCATGGGGAATAATCATCCATATCATCCAAAAAATATTAACCACCCTAAAAACTCATGGGTTTAGTGTTGGATCTCTTCATTTTGGAATGATCGCAATAAAAAAAATGCAAACACGTCGTATTTGGGATATCTTGAACACCACTTTTGGAATATTGTCATTGTGACTCTCAGATATATAAGATAATGTTCTGTTGAAGCAACCATGGAGTTTGCAAACCCACCCTCAAACCCTTCAAAAAACCACACAACACGTATGAATACTTGCAACCATCTGGGTAAATTATAATATTTCACTAACCTGAATTAAGGCCATTTGGGGATGATTTCCCTTAAACACCATGATTCCAGTGACGTCGCAGTGAGGTCGTTATAATTTACCCAGAACCATCACACCCATCAAATCATCAACCTATGGTTCTGTGCCTTCTGCGGCCTAGAAGCAGGTGGCAAACATCCCTGCCAACGACCCTGTTGCGAAGGGCTTGCATGCCTTCCACACTGGATTGTCGGCCATGGCGATGGCTGTGATGCTGGGAGGCTCGAGGGCTTGTCGAAGACGGGCGCTTGAACACAGCAGTGGCGGCCAAGTGCAATGTGGGGCCCCCCAGTGATGTTTGTTGGTTTATAAACCCCATGAACTATGGTTATAAGTACAATAAACCAAAGTTATTGGAGTTATAAACCAACTTAGCTATCGAACGGGGGCCCCACATTGTGGGGACCTACTCAGAACACCTCAATCTGCTTTCAAGTGCAGCGATGAATTTCGATTCGATTTGCGATGATGAATTGACGGCAGCATCAGTTGATCTAGATATTAGTTCGACAGAGAACCTGAACAATTGGGTCTTTGAAAAAAATTGCTCCCTAAAAACTGTCATTTTGGGATTCCAGGTTAAATTTCAGCCAACATTAAAAAATAAACCCAAAGAATATCCCCAACAGCAAGGAAGCAGTGGCCGCCCAATGTTTGTAAGAACATGGTGCATGCAACAGTTTACTTGTTGATGTCCGCTGTGTTCGAATGTATGACTCATTGTGCATCATATCATGCACATTAGTTCATCCGCATGACACTGTATGCGTACGTCTTGTACATTCCTGTGGTTGGGTACGCATCACATCATACCTATTTAGGTCGTACGCAAAACATGATGATGATCGTCTTTTGAGTCTATCCATCGTTTCAAAAAAAAACTGACAATAACTATACAACATCGCGCAGTATCATAGAACAAACAAAATCAAAGCAACATGAATAATATAGAATAGTTGGTTTACGCGTTGTACAGTCCTGTGTTCGACTACGCATTCGTTGATGCGCATGATCTCATATGAACAACGTGGTGTCGACCCTTTTTTAAAGAATGGTTTGTAACCAGATAGAATCATGGAGCAAAATGTCAACTGTGAAACACTGCTTTGCCTCCCGACGCATCACATCATGCGCATGATCTCATACGCACGACTTGATGTAGGTGGTTTTTTGATTGCATCTCTCACGGGTGTCGTTGATTAATCTCATTGCAGAAGATACTGCATAAAAGGGTTTACAGACATTATTCTCTGCATTATGCTTTCCTAGTTTGCACTTTTGGTCCCAGTAGACTCCATGACATGAGGTAAGTAGTTGGTTTTCTGCTGCTGTTGGAAACCTACTGTTGCTTGATGTTCTGCGCCAATGCTTCGTAAGACAGCGTATCAATTTGTTGGTACAAGATCCCTCCACATGAGGACTCACTTGTTCTTGCTTGGCGCCTGGCATTGAGGCGCCTTCATTGCTGCACATTCTTGCTTTAGACGTTGGAGATGTGCCTGGCGCAAAACTGCAAGATTTGTTGTTCAAATATTTTGAAAATTCAGTTGCGAGCAATTAGTTTCTAGAAGAAACATTGCGCAACAATTTCTTGCTTGTGAGACTGTGGGTTTAGAAGTATGGTTTTGAGCCCAGAAGCATTCACTTATCCAAGATTGTCCATTCTCTTCAAAACCTTGGGCCTGAACTGGATCATTTCTTCAGGTTGCGATAAAAATGCTTTGTTTGACACGCTGGGGCTTCATTGCTGCCCACAGTGCCAAACCCAGGCAAATGGTTTTCAAACAGAACACGCTTACCTGTTGCAATTGGACAAGTTGTTTCCAAAACATCCAGCCTTACGGCCCGCAAGTGTTTATCACATGTGTTTCCCACTATCATCGCCAGGTATGTTACATAACGCCGCCTCAACGATTTCAATGTGTTGTCTTGCAGCCAAAGACAAAACAAACATCTTTTTGCCTCAATGCAAACAAAAAAGGCTTTGTTGTGCATGCATGCTGTTGCCCAAGCAAGTTGTTCTTTCCAAGCAAGTAAGCCGAAGCTTCAGTAATTCTTTGATATAAGCAGCAGGGATGTTTGTTGACCTCATGGCCGATTCAAACATGTGCATGCAAAAGTTGTACTGCTGCGTGGTTGCATTACCACCGTCAGGATACATTCAAACTATTACCAACTATTCAGGTTTGTAAGTTCTGACACCAAATCTGCAAATCTGGCAAGCGAGCCCTTCAAAGGCATACAAGGGATTTCATTTCTGCTTCGCCGAAAGGTGGCACCTGAAGCATTCAATGTGTGTCTTGCATGTGTCAAATGAATGTTCGCTGTGGTGGAGGGATCTTGTACCAACAAATTGATACGCTGTCTTACGAAGCATTGGCGCAGAACACCAAGCAACAGTAGGTTTTCAACAGCAGCAGAAAACCAACTATTTACCTGGTGCCATGGCGTCTACAACCAAAATCATGCGCAAAATGTGACGCGTCAGGAACCAGAGCAGTGTTTCACAGATGATTCCTTCTTCATGATTCTATCTGGTTCCGCACCATGAATTCAAATCAGTCTACATCATGTCGTACGTAGGAGATCATGCGCATCGACGAATGCGTAGTCGAACACAGGACTGTCCAACGCGTAAACCAACTCTTTCTTATTATTCACGTTTCTTTCTTTTTGTTTGTTCTATGATATTGTGCGACGTTGTATAGTTATAATCCAGATTTTTTTTTGAAACGATGGATAGACTCTTTTTAGACTCATAAGACGATCATCATCATGTTTTGCGTATGAAATACAAATATGGTGTGATGCCTGCCTACGCACAGAAATGTACAAGAGGTACGCATACAGTGTCATGCGGATGAAGTATAATGTGCATGATATGATGCGCAATGAGTCATACATTCGAACACAGCTGATATCCATTGCATGCACCATGTTCTTACAAAAACTGCGCGGCCACTTCTTCCTTGCTGTTGGGGATATTCTCTGGCCTTTTTTTGTTTCATCACAAGGGCCTTTTGCACCATTCAGGTGTCTTGATTGAAAACCTCGGGTACCTTTACAATGATTCCTTGGAAAACTTGAGACATTTACTTGGGAACCTTGGCAAGCTTGAGGAAACCTTTACAATGTAACCTTGGAAACCTTGAGAACATTTACAATGTAACCTTGAGAACCTTTACTTGGAACCCTTGGGAAGCTTGGGAACCGTGGGAACCTTGAGGCACTGAGGCAACCTTTACAATGCAACCTTGGCAACCTTGAGAACGTTTACTGGGGAACCTTGAAAACCTTGAGCGAACCTTTAGACTCTAACCTTGGGAACCTTGAAACTCTAACCTCTAACCCTGGGAACATTGAGGGAACCTTGACAATCTAACCTTGGGAACCTTGAGAATGTTTACGTTTACTAGGGAACCTTGAAAACCTTGAGGGAACCTTTAGAGTCTAACCTTGGGAACCTTGAGGGAACCTTGACAATCTAACCTTGGGAAACTTATAGAAACCCTTACAATGTCACCTTGGCAACGTTTACTTGGAAACCTTTACATAGTAACCTTGGGAACCTTGAAACCTTTACAATGCAACCTTGGGAACCTTGAGAACCGATACAATGCAACTTTGGGAACCTTGACAACATGTACAATGGAACCTTGAGTGAACCTTGAGGGAATCTTGAGGGAACCTTGAGAGAACCTTGAAGGAACCTTGAGGGAACCTTGACAATCTAACTGTGGGAACACTTGGGAACCTTGAAAACCTTTACAATGCAACCTTGGGAACCTTGAGAACCTGTACAATGCAACTTTGGGAACCTTGGCAACATGTACAATGGAACCTTGAGTGAACCTTGAGGGAACCTTGAGGGAACCTTGAAGGAACCTTGAGGGAACCGTTAGAATCTAACCTGGGGAACCTTGAGGGTCTGATGAAGCGCTGTTCTGGCAGAGCAAAAGATGCGAAAAGTGCAAAAAGGTGCAAAAGGCCTTTTCTCGCTCACGTGGCTATGCCTTCATGGCGTTTGATGACCAGCTGGTCATTGCAAAGGGCGCTCAAGGGATCCGCTGTTGATCCCATTTGATAATGAAAAAGCATTGGTTGGGGAATGGCTCATGTGCAGGCAAGGCCAAAAAGCACAAACGGAATGACTTGAGTGAAATTCACAGACGGAACCTTTACAATCTAACCTTGGGAACCTTGAGGAAAGCTTTACAATCTAATTTGGAACCTTTACTTGGGAACCTTGAGGAAACCGTTACAATCTAACCTTGGGAACCTTGAGGGAAGCTTTACAATCTAACTGGGAACCTTTACTTGGGAACTTTGGGAGCCTTGGGAGCCTTGGGAACTTTGGGAACCTTGAGAACCTTGGCATCCTTGGGAACCTTTACTTGGGAACCTTTACTTGGGAACCTTTTCTTGGGAACCTTTACTTGGGAACCTTTACTTGGGAACCTTTTCTTGGGAACCTTTACTTGGGAACCTTTACTTGGGAACCTTTACTTGCGAACCTTTAACCTTGCTTGGGAACCTTTACAACCTTCACTTGGGAACCTTTACTTGGGAACCTTTACTTGGGAACCTTCTCTTGGGAACCTTCACTTGGGAACCTTTACTTGGGAACCTTTACTTGGAACCTTTACTTGAACTTTTACTTGGGAACCTTCACTTGGGAACCTTCACTTGAGAACCTTTACTTGGGAACCTTTACTTGGGAACCTTTACTTGGGAACCTTTACTTGGGAACCTTTACTTGGGAATCTTAACTTGGGACCTTTACTTGGGAATCTTTACTTGGGAACCTTTACTTGGGAACCTTTACTTGGGAACCTTCACTTGGGAACCTTCACTTGGGAACCTTTACTTGGGAACCTTTACTTGGGAACCTTTACTTGGGAACCTTCACTTGGGAACCTTCACTTGGGAACCTTCACTTGGGAACCTTTACTTGGGAACCTTTACTTGGGAACCTTTACTTGGGAACCTTCACTTTTGAACCTTTACTTGGGAACCTTTACTTGGGAACCTTTACTTGGGAACCTTTACTTGCGAACCTTTTCTTGGGAACCTTCACTTGGGAACCTTTACTTGGGAACCTTTACTTGGGAACCTTTACTTGGGAACCTTTACTTGGGAACCTTCACTTGGGAACCTTTACTTGGGAACCTTCACTTGAGAACTTTTACTTGGGAACC